TATTCAGGGCTCTATTATAAACGTTGCAAAATCCAGAAAAAGAAGCATAAGTCATGAACCCTGTCTTCTCTGTCTAGTTGGTTTAAAAAAGAAAACAAACGGGTACAGAAACAACAGAGAATGATGAAAACCAGTTAATCTGACCCACAGGAGCCTAGTACCATGTTTCCCTGAAAATAAGACAGGGTCTTATATTTAGTTTTCCTCAAGAAGACACCCTAAAGCTTATTTTCAGGGGATGTGTTATTTTTTTTTAAGTATGGTACAATAATCTACATTTATTCAAATATAGTTAAGTCATCTTCTTCTGGAACATCATCATAGTGAAATGGCAGCCACAGCTTTCCTTCTTCCCCCTGGGGACACACAATACCTGAAGCGGAGCGTCCTGCTCTTCACTTCACTGAGGAGACTTTCCCCTCAAAGCCTCAGCTTGCAGCACGCACAGGATGGCCGGGACCTGACAAAGGGAGCCAACCTTGTTCGTGGGGCTGCCTGCAACTTTCTGGTCATCTCTGGATTAGTAGCTGTCACGATGGGGCAGATGAAAAGGGCTGCTCGTCTTCTTTACCACTCCTGACGAAATGCAAGGGTTGTGCAGATACGCTGCGTAGCCACGTCCATCACTAGGTCTTATTTTCGGGATAGGGCTTATATTGCGCAAATGCGTAGAAATCCTGCTAGGGCTTATTTTATGGGTAGGTCTTATTTTCCGGGAAACACGGTACCTACCTGAAGTGAGTTTGCATTTGAGAATGCAGCCTTTTTACAAAGATTCTGAAGCAGCACTATGAAAAATGTCCAAAGGATGGACAAATATAAATAAACTACTCAATGAGAGAAATGGACCCTGGTAATAATAATTATAATGGCTAATATATCTTCAAACTCACTTCAATCAGGCACTATTTGATCCTTTTTTATATTAAATTAATTCTTGCCACAGCCATAAAAAAGAAGGTATTATCATTACTATTATATAGGCGAATAAACTGAGGCACATATAGGTTAAGTAACTTATTCAAGGCCACACGGATAGTAGTAAGTGGCTAAGCCAGAATTTGTACCTGGGAAGTCTGACTATAGACTCTGCTCTGTTAATCACTGTACCACACTGCTTAGATATAGATGATGATCAAAAGTGAGTGCTTTCTGGTAACAGTGGCAACCTCCAAAAACCAGGTAGCTCTGGCCAGATTCTCTCTGGCCTGAGTCAGTGTAACAGACATCAGTGATAGAATCCCAACCCAAACTAAGGCAAAATGACTGATATGTTTAGTGGATAATTTTTGGACTCATTTTTATAATTCATCAATACTTCCTTGTATTCCTGAATCTCATGCTCCAGAAGCAGGCCTTGCTGTCACCTGATTTTTACCTCTGTAACTGCTGTACTGTCAGTGCAGGGAGAAGGGTCATGTCCTTGACTTGGGAGGGCAGGTAAAGAAAAATGACTTGGTTGAAGAGTAGACATTGGGAGTGAAGATGTGGGGCTTGGAACTAGGGAAAGAGATCCTAATTCTGTGAGCATCCTTCACAGATACATACAACCATAAGTCTTATATACACAGTATTCTTTTTTACATAAAAGAGAGTGTTCTTGCAATTAATAAAATGCAAATTCATTTCAAAGTGTTATTGATGCTGAATTCCTAGAAATTTTTGTCATCATGAATTTTCTCAAGTAGTATGTACTATAAAAATAATTATTATCACAAAGTGCAGGAAGTCATATGATTTTTTTTAATGTAAAAAGACCTCTTTCATCCTTGAAAAGGTTGGAAAACATTGGTCCAGAGAAGTGGTCTTCAAAATCTTGAGAGTTAGTTCCCTTATCACTAAAAAAAATTTGAGCAAACACTCAACTACTCCATGCATGTGAATTTATAAGTTGTATACAACATCATTAATATGTAATATTGTAAATATTCATAAAACAGAAAAAAGGGATAAGATTAAAAAATTAGAGAAGTTTAAATTCCCCCCCCACACACACCTATGGCACCTTGCATACCCATAAGGGTACATGTACACTGCTTTGGAGACCAGAGTGGATTCGGGGGAGGTAAAAAGGAGTGATTTTTCCCTTTAAGGGCTTAACATGTAATAAACTTTTAAAAATCAGGATCCTAGTTCAGTTTGCTTAAGCCACATTGGTCACCAGCTCAGCTTTATCATCAGAAGGGACACAGTATGGGGCATGGTCCTGTGGACCTGTATATTTAATTAGCTGCTGAACTTAGAGGAAAAGTATTCCTCCTGGGGATTTCACAACCAGCATGGGACACTTTGGCAGGGAAGGGGCAGGCTTGCAAAGCCTCAGGGACTGCCTCAGAGCAAGTTACTCAAGTGATGGTTGTTTTATTTGCCATTCATGAGCCCAGAGGAGTACTGTGCTGATTTGGGGTGGTTTTCCGTTGCTCCTCCAGTTAGTGTCACCTTTCTTCCTCCTAAGGACCCAGGCAGCCATATGAATTTGGTTTTTGCACTCCTTAATGACATACTCTCAAGGGCCCACCTGGTTGTGGAAAACAACCTATTTGGTCAAAAGACTCTCTCAGTTTCCTACTTTATGTTCTTGTTCTAAAGTAGCAATCTCAGCTTCTAATGTCCTGGGTAGAGTTTTTTGTGAGCTTACTAATGGATACTACCATGTGAATTCTTGGTTATCACCTGAGACCTGTTGCTTGTGGTAAATGTGAGTTTTTTGTTCTTAACCCAGAACTTGTGAATGGTAACAACTGGAAGTGAGACTCAGGAATCTGCATTTTAACAGGGTGCTTATGAGGCACAGTGCAATTTGAAGGCCACTTTTAACTTAGAACACGGCTCTCTCTTTAACCAGAGTCCATGTTTCTCTTCATTCGAGACCTCTAGAAGAGAGATCTCTGAGTGTTCTACAGATATTTCTTGGCTCTGGATTGCCTTTATTTTTTCATTTTAGCAGTTAATGAAAGTTGTACATAAGATTACTTCATTCCTGCATCTTCTCAATTGTTTCTCTGTTATATTTGCCATTTTCCTTTCCAACTTTGGGGGCTTAGGCTTTCCATTCAAGATATTTTTTCAGTCTTTGTCCAGTTTTAGCCTTGTTGGAGTGAATGCTCACATGGATGACTGTGCCATTAGCCTTTTCCCACGGAACCCACTCGGTAGACATGTTTCTTTCAGTAAACTTGGACTACTTTGCCAGTTTGCTGACCTTTATCATGTCCTCACACAAGCTGAACTTCATCATCTTTTTGCATGGGCATAGATTAAACATTGTACTTACATCTCAGCTCTTTGGAAAGAGGGGAGGACAGAATCTTCTGCAAATTTGGGAAGGTTTGTTTGAAATGCCTTTTATGGTTTTTACTTTGGTCAGAAGTCACAAAGGATTGAACTTCATTTTGGCCACTGCCATTTCAGCGATGGCTGCAAAAGGGAAAAGGAATCTGGATCAGTTTAGTGCTCTCCCAGAGATAGCTTTTTTTCCTTTCCCTTGGTGTGTGACCAATTAGTATCACCAGCTTCATCATGGATTGTAACTCTCCAAGGAGGTCAGGCACATTTAGAACGCATGAGGGCTGCAGGCATCAAAGGCAAGTCCTTTTAAGTTAGCGCTATTGACACTAACTTGCACCCCTGCAGTGAAACTGGGCTCCAAGGGCCAAAGGCAGGGCAATCTGAGTAGAACCAGGGCTGGGGGTGTGAAGTGAGTATTAGGGGTACAGTGGCCTACTTGGAGGAGGTGAATGTATTTAGCAGCCCCTAGCTGCCCGCAGAGAGAACACCGGCCATTGTCTTTTTCAGTAGAGTGGAGGAGAACTAGGATAGTATACTCTCCACTGGCATTTCTCTTTTCCTCGGGGCATCTCCTTTTCCATTAGGAAAAGGAAAAGACATGACTTAGGCTGGAAGATGAGGAAGTAGTTCTGTAAACTGAGTGTCCCCAAGTCTACCTCTGTCAACTGGACAAATAGCAACTTGAGTAAGTGCTTCAGTAAGTTCCTTGACCAGGAACACCAGCTTTTAGTTAGAAAACAAGGGGGGAAAGAAACAGGGTGTGGCTGGAAAGGGGGCTGCCCCCTCACCCTTGACACAGTGCACATTTGAGGGAAACCTGCTGCCAAACCATTAGACCATCTTCTGGGTCATGGTTTTGTATATAGGAGAGCAGCTTCCTCACTGTGAACTGTGGAAAGTCAGCCCTGGACATGAGGGTTTATATTAAAAACCTTTAAAAAATAAAATAAGGGGAAAACTCCCACATATCTATCTAGCTGGGGTTTGGCATTGCTTTTGTCTTCTTAGGGGCCTCACTGCATTTAGCAACTAGATTCTTTTTATGTGTGTGTGACCAATTAGTATCACTAGCTTTTTTTCATCGTGGATTAAAAATAATCCCCAGATGTAAGTAATTGTATTCATGAGCCCTTGTAATTTATAGAATGCCTTTTCAGAAAGCTCAAAGCACAACACTCTATTGCACAACCTAGTCTGTTCCTGGACTTTCTCTGTGTATTTGTTAAGGGGCAGCTTCTTTAACTATTGTCATTTGACATTTGGAGGCTAGAGAAGCTTTATGGGTTGAAAAGGTCACATGGTATTAGCAACAGAATTGGGAATGGGATATTCAGTGTCCACTTCAGTCTGTGTCAGTGATTTCCAAACTGAGGTCCACAGCCAGGAAGACTGCTTAAGAACTACCTGTGGAGCTAGTTAAAATTAGAGGTTCCTGGACCCCACTGCTCTAGAGATTCTAACTCAGTAGGTCTGTGATGGGACCCAGGGATCTATTAATATATATTTTTTTTAATTATTTTTTTTATTTATTAATATATTTTTTATAAGCATTTCAAATTATTCTGATTCACAGCCAGAGTTAGGAACAAATATTATACTATAGACCATATGACAACTGCACTGCCTACCTTTTCCCCTCCCAGGAATGTCTTTGACTGAAGTGTGCCTTTTTAATGTATTTCTTCTTGCCACCCACCCTCTAATTTCCCCAGGTCTCCCAGTTCAGGCTAAGAAACATGCTGAGTCTGCCAAGAGCACACTGTTGACCTGGAAGGCAAACATGACCTCAGACAAGGAGAAAAAGGAAATCCTGGAAACTCTGGTCATGCTCTACTACACTCTTGGGGTGGCCTGGCTCCTGCAGAACCAATATCCTTACCAGCTGGGTTTGGTGATCAGGGCCATAGGCCACACATGCGCAATGGGCGTCTCATACAAGAATGCGAGAGATAGAACCAAGGCCTTATAACTCTTTTCCAATGTCCAGGCCTTCCACTAGCCTCTCATCTCCACTTAGAAAGATATGTATTTTCTCCTGTCTGTCGAGATAAGCTCTTGAGTTGAGCCATGGGAGGGACCTGACTAGTGACACCTCCCCTGGCTAGCTGAAGGTTTTCTGAGTCTGTCCTATTCTTCATTGAGTACCCAAGAAAATCAGCATTAGCAATGAGGATGTGCGTGGTGGTGGCTGCAGCAGTGTAGGAATGGGGAGAATGAGTGGTCATTTAAAACACCATTTGGCAAAGTAGGCTGCACACTGTAATCCCCTGGAGAGCTTTTAAGAGTTACTTCTGTTGGGGGCCCACCCCTTTGGTTTAAAAGCCCCCAGGTGATTGAGATGTGTAGCCAAAAACCACAGATTTAATGACTCTTGATCATTTTAGTTTTTGGAAATGCTGTTGAATACTGCCAGTGAGGCTGGAGGCCAAGCAAAATAGACAAAAGGAGTAGTTCTCCAAATTCCCAGAGGGGAACTATTATTTGTTCCTCTCCTCAAAAAGTTTGTGGTTTTGACAGCCTTTTGGTACTATCCCCACTGGAAAGATATTAAGGGCATTTCATGTTCATGAATAATCCTGAGCACTCTTTGAGCCCACCTGTCCTCAATATCCTCTCTACACATCACCTCTTCTACTTTTTTTGGTCCTGATGCTCAACTTGCGAAATCTGCTATGTGACCTTTCTCTGTTGTACCCTTAGCAAGGGGCTGTTGAAAATGTGGGAAATAGAAGGATGTTTGGGAATTAAGGGGATTTTCTTTTCTGCTGTTTGCCTCTGGCCAAAAACCTGCTTTGCTTGGACTTTCTGAATGACCCAGAAAGTCCCTTTCAGCATAATTAGTTCCTTTATTTTACGATTTATGTGAACCAATTTGGGGAAAGTGAATAACTGTTGTCACACAGTAGATGCCTCTGAAGGAAATCTAGTGTAACTTAGTTTCCGTTCACTCCTGCAAACACCACCCACTCCAGCCCACCACCATAGGAAACCCAAGGCCCTGTTCCTTTTCTGAAGACTTCTTCCTTCTTAACAATACACACACATGGAAAATAGAGAACATAGTGCCCATTTTCAAATATTGCTTCGTTTTCCAAGGGGCCCTTTTGTTTGCTTATCAACTGCTGTCCCTGTGCAGTGGCAGTTAGTTTGTGTACCTGGCATTTTCCTTGACTGTTTCACTGGCAGAGAGGCCTATTTCAACCTGCAGAAGGCAGAGGAAAACATGAAGGAACTGAAAGAATTTCGTAAGGGAGGCATTTGTGGATTGCAAGTCACAGAGAAAGAACTAACAATTGCTTTGGGCAGGTAAGATCTGAGGCTTTTATGAATGAGGCTTAGAGTTACTGATTGTTCTGTACTCTCTATATAAGGGAGAAAAATATTCAGAGTAACAAACCCAGAAACTGAAACGATAATAAAGGAGGCTCTTAATTACCGAATGCACACACTGTGCTCCAAGCTCTTTGTGCACTGCCCTGTTTAATCTCCACAACAATGATTGAGGTAGTTGGTGTGATTATTATTTCATTAGAGAGAGACCAAGGAGACTGAAGCTGAGGTTAAACAAAGAGTCCAAGATGACACAGCTTGTTAAGTATTGGATTCATGATCTGAACTCGTGGACTCTTAGCTATTCCTTATAAAGTACCTCTCATGCTTATTCTAGGGTTACAACTTTTTTTCTAAATTGCCACTTACTTTTGTCATTACATGTGACATCTTAACAGATGAAGAAGGAACACTTAATGAAGACAATTGGAGACTATGAAAGCTATGTACAGCACGTGCATTTTAAAGGAAAGTTGTGCTCCATATGGACACAAAGTTTGTGGAATTTGTTCGAGCCAGAACAGGACTTAACTGTTTTGCAGTTGAATTAGGGATCCTCTGAGAATCAGAATATTTAGAAATGAGAGGCGGCCGGCCTATCAGATTATCAGAAGAAAAAAATAAAGTTTACTGTTCCCTAGGTTTTAAAAAATCTTCACATGCTTGAAAACAATCTGTTTCCAAAACTGTAAGCATTGGCACAGTAGAGCATATTACTGAATGGTAAGCAAATGAAATATTAATATATGCATTATGTCTGCCTCCTCTAAACAACCATGAATCTAGAAGTGAAATGGGAAATGGTAGGGAAATGTTGGAATGTCCAGAGCTAAATCAAACTATTGACTTAAGTCCATATGGCCATAAATTAGAATGTCTACTGTTGTCACATGGGGCAATGGCTAAAGTTTTTCTGCCTTATGTGGAAGATGGCCTTATTCCTTTTCAGAAAAAATTTGGTGCTCATTTCATTCTTCCATTCCACAATATTTATTGAGTACTGATTTTGTTCATGTACTATTCTAAGTGTTAGAGTGCCTACTAAGTATAATTACATACTAGACACTGTTTTAAATGCTTTACATAATTTATTTTATTCAAGCCTCAATACAGCTTATAAGGGTAGTAGTTTTATTACTTTAATTATATAGATAAGAAAATTAAGGCACAGAAAGATTAAAACTCAAGGTGATAGAACTAATAGAAGAGCTAGGATTGTAACTGGGGCTTCTGAATCCATAGGTCCCTTCTATCCCACAGTGAGTTGATATTGACTAAATATCTAGTAAAGGCAAATACCTTTTTTCATTTTAAGGGTAGAGAAACTAAGGCAGGATTGTTCAGGCCAAATACCTTGCTAATATCTCCCTATAAGAGTCATTATAATTCTACAATTTATGTTCGTATGGACTAGGGAAATAATGGTCTCATTGATTAAAAAATTATTTTTATAAAGAATTATCAGGTAACATACCAGTGTTCTTTTGGTTAATCTTCAGGGGAAGGCTAAGCCATCAGCTTTAAAAAATTGTGACTATTGCTAAAATGCCTCATATAAAATAATTTTAAACACACAAATATGTATTTTTTAATTTTAAAAAAACTTTTTTAGAGATGGGATCTTGCTATGTTGTCCAGGCTGGCTTTCTACTCCTGGGCTCAAGGAATTCTCCTGCCTTAGCCTCCTGAGTAGCTGGGACTATAGGCGCGTGGCACTGTCCCCAGCTCACACATATATTTTTGGTTTTTTTGTTTTGTGTTTTTGTAGAGATGAGGTCTGGTTTCAAACTCCTGGTCGCAAGCACTCCTCCTACCTTAGCCTCCCAAAGTGCTGAGATTACAGGCATGAGCCACTGTGTCTGGCTCTCACACATATGTTTTTAATTCAATTTGGGAATACAAAGATGGGGATAGAGGGAAGTAACATTGATTGTGTATCTAAGATGATTTTACATATAATATTTAATCTTTATAACAATCTTATAATGCAGATATGCTTAACTATATTTTATTTGGAAGGAAATGTAAGTTCCTGGAATTTGATAAAGCTAATAAGTGCCAGAACTGGCTTTAAAACCACCTATATTCTCATTTTGTCTTGCTATCTCTAGAAAGCTAAACCTGAATGAGATACTATTTTATCCTCACTTTAAAAAAATTATATTCCCAATTTTGTTATGGAAAATTTGAAAATACAGGTATGAAGAAGAAAATAAGTCTATTGTATTACCACTACCCAGACATAATTGCTATGGACATTTTGGACATATATATATATATATATATATAATGTTTTGAGTACAGTTTTATATCTTGCTTTTTTACTTAGCACATTTTGATTTTCTCATATTGTTAGTCTAAAATGAAAACATGGTTTTCAATGTTTCTAAAGTACTATATGATGTGCCATAATTTATTTAACCACTCTTTTGGGGGATATTTATGTTGTTTTCTCTATCCTTTCTTGTTTTTAACTGAGGAGGAATAAACCAAAATAAATTAAACAAAGCAAAAACTTTCTTTGGCCTGAAAGACAGCGAACAAGAGGTAATAAAATTTTGATTTTAGAAACTCTGTTTATGAGTAAATTATCCCATCTTGTGAATTGCTGGAAGCCATTTTTTCCATTTGCTTTTTAATAAAATTAGATGATAACATGACTTAATAAGGGGTTTCATGAATGGCAGTTAGTGAAATCTGGTGGATAAACTGTAGGATAATAGGAGTTTATTTACAGCAAGGCTGGATTTTGAGCCAACCACCCAGATTATTGGCCTATGAAGGTCAAATTCTTTAGTTCTTGGAATCAATCCCTTTTGTGTCTGCAAAGTAAGAGGCCCCTGTGACTTTCCATCTTCCTTCCTTTTCTTATAGAGCCTCCTTGGCCATCCACAGGCTGAACCTAGCTCTGACATACTTTGAAAAGGCAATTGGCAATGTTATTGCTGCCAAAGGTGACAGGACGTCAGATCTGATTAGTCTATATGAGGAAATTGCTCAGATCGAGCAGCTGAGGAAGAACCACGACCAAGCCATCCAGTACTTGCAGCAGGTTGGTGAGTTGGCTGCGGCCCAGGCTGGGTGGTCTTGTTTGGGCCCAGAGCCAGGGAAGCTTGGGCTTCTCAGAAGGACAAAAGGTGTGATCGATTCTGTTTTAACCTTGACTTCCCTCCAGATCCACACAGGAGCTCTTTGTCAAGTTTAAATGACCTGGGTAGCAAGCACTAACTCAGGTGGATGGATCTGCTGTGTCATTTAATCTGTAGACAGCACTTTCCCTCTCTGGCACCCCTTCTGATCTCTGTAGGTGCCTCGAAGAAGAATCCAAGTGTGAGTCTACTCCACAGAAAAAAGATACAGGGGCAACTGAAACACAAAGGGCCTTTTAAATGAAAAATTGTGGTATTTTAGTGTAATTATGTCATTTGTTTTTTAAGATAGTCTAGTTGATTATATTTCCAAATCTATGGTTAAACCAACAAAAGAGTGTTTGACTTGGAGGTAATAACTTGACAAATGCCCAGCAGAAACCAAAATAAAACATAGGAAGGAATATTGAGTCTATCATATGATAACAGTTTAGGGCACTGTTATGTATCATGTACTTGAAACTATTAAGGCCACTTTTCTCTTTTCCAAATGAGAATGCTGCTTGTGGCTTCAGATATTTTCCACAGTGACAAACAGGTTGAAAAGTAGGTTTCCTGTATCATAGGAAAAGTGCAATGCATTCTAACAGCATGCATGAAAACAGATACTAAAGAAAAGGCATAGCAAGCAATCCTACAATCTAAGATTATAAGCATCACACCATGGAGAAATGTTAGGGAATGCTGCTCTGAAGGCAGGGGGTCCATTGCTTACAGAGAAAGCCAGTCTGGCTTTTGTGTTCAAGACTTTCTTAAAGCAGTGGTTAGATCAGAATGGATAAAACAATAAATATCAGTGATTCTGAACACCACAAAAAAAATAAGAATTAAAATTTATGGAATGCTTTTATTAAGTGGACTTGAAGATGTATTGATTCATTTAATTCATATACTAGCCCCATGAAGTATTAATAGGTATCATTATTATTTTATCTCATTTTAAGGATGAGAGTTATAGCTAATACAGCTGAAGTTGTATAGTTAACAAGTGCTAAAGCAGGGATTTGAACTCAGAAAATTTAGCTCTGGAGCCTGTACTTATAATAACTCTGCTCTGCATCTTGGCTCCAAAGTGTTGTCTGATAATCCCTTCAGCTTTTTGAAACACCTCATAGTGTTTAGCCTGTAAAATACTAAGCACAGATGGTTCTTTCATTGCTGGTGGGTGTAGACTAGATGTTTTCTTCTTTCTCCTCCGTGTTACCCCTTCCATTTTAGCACAAATAATAATAAAATCCTTCACTTGTTTAGTCCTTACTATAGTATATATGCCAGGTGGTATTCTAAACAGTTTACACATATTCTTTTTATTTTTAATTTTTTTTATTTCAGCATATTATGAGGGTACAAATATACATATATTGCCTTTGCCCCACCCGAGTCAGAGCTTCAAGCATGTCCATCCCCTAGACAGTGTGCACTGCACCCATTAGGTGTGAGTATATGCATCCCCTCCTCCCCCCTCCCATCTGCCCAACACTGATGAATGTTATTACTATATATGCATGTAAGTGTTGATCAGTTAGAACCAATTTGATGGTGAGTACATGTGGTGCTTGTTTTTCCATTCTTGTGATACTTCACTTAGTAGAATGGGCTCCAGCTCTATCTAGGAAAATACAAGAGGTGCTAGATCACCATTGGTTCTTGTGGCTGAGTAGAATTCCATATTCATTTAATATTTACAATAACTGTGACAAATATCCATGTTTTACATTAGAAGAGGTTAAGTGACTTGACTTATGTCACAGTAAATGGCTGGCTGGGATGGAAATTCAGCCAGTGTGGCTCTAGAATCCATGCTTTACAAGACTGCCTTTGAGACTGAACTTTTGAGAGACTGTGCTAAGATTATGGTTTTATTTTGCTATGAAACCTAATAAAAATAATTATATCTAACATTTATTGAGAACTTACCATGTGATGGGTACTGTGCCCAGTGCTGTGCATATACCATCTCAATCTTTCCCAAACCCTAATCAGTGGGAATTAAATATTCCTTCCATGTGTGAAGGTGTAAAATTACTTGCTCAAGACTCAACAGCTGGGAAGTGGCAGGGCTGGGACTCAAACTCATCTCTCCTCTAACTCCATGATTAGCTATATATTGGCTCTCAGTCAACTAGCAATTCTGTGGGAGCTACTAGAAAATAGACTGAAACACTCTCATTTGGGTACTTAGCTTGTCATAATTTTCTTTATTCCAGGCTTATTCTATCTGTGTTTCTGTGTTCACTGAAGTCAACCCTAAAACTGCAGAAACAAGCGCATTACTTGCCAAAGCTTATGCCATGTCTGGAGAGGCCCAGCACAGCGGTAGGTAGAAGAGGTGGCCTTGCAGTTATCATCATTTCCCAGTCACATAAGGGAAACACATTGGCAATGGTCTATCTCTAAATAAGATTATAATTAGCTATTTATGCCTGCAGTGGAAAGATAGGCTGGTCAGGATTTCATACAAAACGAATCACACATGAATTTAGATCTGATAATATTCTCCCAAATTAGCTGGAATATCAGAACGGAAAAAAATCATCTGATTTCTATTTCCTTTATTTCCTTAAAAACTCAGCAAAAATCACTTTTATAAGTAGCAGAGATCATACACCCTATGAATGTGATCTGTGATATATTGGTTGACGAGGAAATCTACTGATAAACGAGAAAAACATTGGCTTCTCCTCCCCTCCTCTTCCACTCTCAATCTCCTTGACTCTTTTCCTCTCATTTACAAGAGAGGGTGTTTGTAGCAGTTAGAATTTTCTTGACCTATATTCAAAAGTGAGGTACTGGGGTTCTAGAGAAAAGCCAGATGATTAACTCATCCTTCAACAATAGTTGTTGTCTGGCAAGGTCATCTTTTTGAAAGTGGGTGGCTTTGGGAGGGACACAAATGAACTGCCGAGAGAGGACAGTGTATCATTCTCAGCTGGCTTGATCAGATTAATGAACACTGATAGATCCAATGGCCTGTCAGGAGGAATTTAGGATTTGTGAAGAATATAATTTGAACATTTTAAAAATGTTTATTTTCTCTGCATATAAAAGTAATCCATTTTGATGTTATTTTCCAGTTAGAGGAGAGAGAGAGAATTATAAAGTTTTCCATCCTACTTTTTTCCATGCTTGTATTTCCCATGTTTGTAAATATTTTTTTTTCAGTTTGCTGAAGTTTTGATATTTTAATTATTTTCTTAAACATAAATATCTATTGAAGACTTCCTGATTCCTTGTTTTTCAGCTAATCATCTTTCTCCTTTGAAAATTTTGTTGTGTATACTAACAGTGTATATATTCCATATATATTTGAGTTTTTAAAAAGTAATATTTGTGGTTATAAGAAACAATGTATTTGTGAATATGTAAAATTTTTAGCTTTTGGAGACAAGGTCTTTCTGTGTCACCCAAGCTGGAGTGCATTGGCATGATCATAGATCACTGTAGTGCAAACTCCTAGGCTACTGATCCTCCTGCCTTGGCCTCCCAAGTAGCTGGGACTACAGACATGCACTCCTGTGCTCAGTTGATTTTTCTATTTTTAGTAGAGATGGGATCTCGCTATTTTTGGTCTTGAACTCCTCCTGTTCTAGGATCATAGGTGTTAGCCACATGCCCAGCCTAACTTTTTTTTTTAATGTGAGAAAAAAATCCAAAGTTTGTTTATAAAGTTGGGAGATTCCAAGGCCACCTTATTCTTTTCTTACATACTAATTTTAAAGAAAATATAGATCTTCACAGCATGTTATTCATTAATTCAAATTCCAAATGAATTAATATTTTATATATCAAAACTGAAAATATAAATTAGCCAAAAGAAAATATAGTATTAGGATAAAAAAATGCTAAAATTAAAAATTTGAGGAAAGAAGAACTTTCTAAGCACAAATAAAGACATACCATAAAAAGAAGGGGTTGACAGATTTAATTACAGAAAGATTTAAAGCTTGTGTCTGTCACAAAGTACCACAAATAAAATTAAAAACAACTCAGTTGAGGTGAATGGATAACCTAAATAGACTCTTACCTATTAAATAAATGAATTTGTAGTTATCCTTCCAAGAAAAAAATCTCCAGGCCCAGATGATTTCACTGGGGAATTCTACCTCATATTTAAAGAAGGAGTACTACCAATTCTACATAACCTCTCTCAGAAAATAAAAGAGGAAAAAATACTTTCTAACTAATTTTATGAGGCCAGCATTACCCTAATAACAAAACTGGGCAAAGACATCATAAGAAAAAAAGACAACTATAAACCAATACCTTTCATTAATGTAGATTTAAAAATCATCAACAAAATATATACCAATACATAAAAAATAATATACCATGATCAAGTGAGGGTTTTTTTTCTCAAGAATGTCAGGCTGTTTCAATACTCAAACCTCAGTCACTGTACCTCTACCATATTAACAGTCCAAAGGTGAAAAGCATATGATCTTAATTTGATGCAGAAAAAGCATTTGACAAAATTCAATATCCATTCATGATGGAAGGGAACTTTCTTAATCGAATAGCCATGTACAGGCTGGGGGCAGTGGCTCAGGCCTGTAATCCTAGCATTCTGGGAGGCTGAGGTGGGTGGATTGCTTGAGGTCAGGAGTTCAAAACCAGCCTGAGCAAGAGCGAGACCCCCGTCTTTACTAAAAATAGAAAGAAATTAATTGGCCAACTAATATATATATAGAAAAAATTAGCCGGGCATGGTGGCATATGCCTGTAGTCCCAGCTACTTGGGAGGCTGAGGCAGGAGGATCGCTTGAGCCCAGGAGTTTGAGGTTGCTGTGAGCTAGGCTGACGCCACAGCACTCACTCTAGCCTGGGCAACAAAGCAAGACTATGTCTCAAAAAAAAAAAAGGTACATACAAAAACCGTATAGCTAACATCATGCTTGGTGGTCAAAGACTGAGTACTTTCCTCTTAAGATATGGAACAAGACAAGGATGTCTACTCTCATCATTCTTTTTCAACATCATATTGGAAGACCTAGCTAATGCAATAAAACAAGGAAATAAAAGCTATACTATTTGGGAAGGAATAAATAAAACTGTTTCTGTTTTCAGATGACATGATTATCTAATTGGAAAATGTGAAAGAATTGACAACAAACCTCTTAGAACTAATAAGTGATTATAGAAAAATGTAGGATACTAGGTTAATATGCAAAAGTCAATTGCTTTATATACCAGCAAGGAACAAGTGGAATTTGAAATTTAAAACTATACCATTTACTTTAGCATCCCAAGAAATGAGATAATTAGGTATAAATCTAACAAAATACTTGCAAGATATATGAGAAAAACTACAGAACACTGATGCAAGAAATCAAAAAACTAGCCAGACATAGTGGCACATGCCTGTAGTTCCAGCTATGTAATTTGCTGAGACTCAAGGATTGTCTGAGCCCAGTTCGAGACCAGCCTGGGCAATGTAGTGAGACTCCTATCTCAAAAAAAAAAAAAAAAATTAAAGAACTAAATAAACTGATAGATATTCCATGTTCATGTATAAGAAGACTCAATATTGTCAAGATGTCAGTTCCTCCCAACTTGATTTATAGATTCAACTCAATTCTAAGGTCCCAGCAAGTTATTTTGTGGATATTGACAGGCCGATTCTAAAGTTTATATGGAGAGGCCAGAATAGCCAACATAGCATTGAAGAAGAAGAGCAAAGTTGGAGGATTGACACTTGACTTTAAGACATACTGTAAAGCTACAGTAATCAAGATGGTGTGGCACTGGCAAAATTTCCTCATTGTTTTTGTGCATTTTCTAGATTGATTACATAAACATATATTATGTTTAGAATAAGAGATAGTGTTATAATTAAATTTTATAACAATAACAACTATATTTTAAAAGTACTTTTAAAATTACAACTCACTTTCCTCTACCCCACAAAACAGAAACTTCAGTAAACAGTACTTGTCTATCAGAGTTTAATTTAGCTAAAATATAGTCTTGTAGTGCACCTGGTAGTTTTATATGGTATTTGGGGTCTTAGGGATAATAAAACTATTCAGACAGAAGCTTTCTTTTTCTATAGAAAATCTGTGTATTTAATATGGAGAATAAAAGTCAAAATATCATCTGATGCCATCAAGTCATATCTTGGGCTTTTTAAGGGTCCTTATGAGACCTGGAATGAGAACAGGCATGGACTTAAAGTATGAAAATATCAGTTGAGCCAAAGCTGATATTAGACACTTGTAAAGGTTAGCAGTTTGCCTTATATAATTATTTCCATTTTTTCTAGATGCTGTTGAGATATATTTTATAAAAAGTATCAGTGCGTATCAAGCAACATTGGGCTCAAAGGATTTTGAAACACTGAACACCATTGAAGAATTTTGCAAATGGCTTATCCAAAATGGGGAAAAACAGGTAAATATGATCACCTGATAAACATAATTCCTAGTTTGTTAGATCAAAACTTTTTCTTTATTTTATACTTAAGAAACTGGAGCTCAAACAAGTTTCAGGTTACATTAGGAATAATACACAGAACTGGTACAGCTTGAGATATTAGTAAAAAAGTGTTTTTTGTCTACAGCCATACCACCCTGAATGTGTCCGATCTCATCTGATCTCTGAAGCTAAGCAGGGTAGGGCCTGGATAGTAGTTGGATGGGAAAAAGGTGTTTTTCTTGCATCTTGATAACTTGAGATCCTTCAAATCTAGGACACATATAAGCGTTGGCTGTGTAAATTTAATATTTTAAGTCAAAATTGACTTCCACCTTTGGATCTAGCTACCAGTTTTTTTCTCTTGTTGGTGGTATTTTTCTCTCAATCTGATCTTCAACTCTTAATTAGCTACAACTTTGTTTTCACATTAAGAAAAGTTATAGAAAATGCTTTTTGTTGCTGATCTTTTCACTCATAAGTACTATGAGTCTAAGCTATATTAGTCAAAAACTTTGGCCTGAACACAGTGAAGACCTTTGTCTATCATGAGATCCCACATGACTTTTTGATCTGACCAAGCAACTTTATACATGTTCAGGCAAGTGAGAAATATGGATGGATTTGATATGGTCTTGCTGGCCATGTGACAACCAGTTTAAGAGTAGGGTTATAGGTTAACAATAAGTAAGAATTTATTTCCAGGAATGAAGAAAAGTTACTTTTATACCACAGCTGAACATTTTTATAAATGATGACATTTTATTTCTATTTTAACTGCCATTTATAAAGGTAAAAACCTACTAGTGATTTGCAACATTTTTTTCTGTGGCCATGATATTTTCTGTTGATTCAGAAGATTAAATAAGAGATCCCAATACCCTAGATTGACTTAATATTTAATTTTATTTTCAAAAACGTGAAAATACTTTGCCACAATTTCATATTCTTATGTTCTGGTACAATGAACATTATGACTTGTTTGTGATAGAATACCAGTAACAATGCCTAAACAGCTTTCTGCTTCTAACCAAGTGCTTCCTAGTGTATCAAGCTCCTGGCAAAGATGTGAAAGGATCTAAGTACCATGTGGCTCCAAATTTAAACCACAGGCAGAACTATGGACAGGTCACCTTTACCACTAGAAAGAAAGCTCCATGAGGGCAGGAATTCTTGTCTGTTTTGTCTACTACCATATCTTCAGTGCCTGAAACTGGCACATCATAGGTGATCACTAACTTTTGAATGAAATGTGAGGCTCTAGGCTTATTCTAGAGGACCATCATAGAAACTCAGAGTCTTAGGAATTGTATCCCCGTGGAATATAATTTTGGGGGAATAGAGGTTTAATCTGCCACTGATAAAAAAAAATAGAACCTGTCTGGGTAGAGCTACCACCTTCCAGTAGTTCATCAGAATAATAAAGAGAAAAGAGGAAAGACATCCACTATCCATTGTCTAGAGCAGGGGTCCTCAAACTTTTTAAACAGGGGGCCAGTTCACTGTCCCTCAGACTGTTGGAGGGCCGGACTATAGTTTTTTTAAAAAAACTATGAACAAATTCCTATGCACAATGCACATATCTTATTTTGAAGTGAAAAAAACAAACGGCCAAAAACACCTACATGTGGCCCATGGGTCGTAGTTTGAGGACGGACGCCTGGTCTAGAGCTTTTAGAAAACATGGAGTTGTTCCTTTGGCCACATACCTGCAAATCTACAAGAAAAATGATATTGTACATATCAAGGGAGAGTGGGCACTGCTCAAAAAGAAATGCCCCACAGGTGTTATGGCAAAACTGGAAGAGTCTACATTGTTATTCCTCATGTTTCTGGTATTGTAAACCTCCAAGCTCAGTGTAAGATTCTTGCCAACAGAATGGATGTATGCATTGAGTATATTAAGCATTTTAAAAGCTGAGATAGCCTCTTGAAACTTGTGGAAGAAAATGGACAGGAAGAGAAGAGAAAATTCCTTGGGTTCAAATGAAATGCCAGCCTGCTTCACCCAGAGAAGCACATTTTGTGAGAAATAATGGTAAAGAGACTGAGCTACTAGAGCCTTTTCCCTAATAGATTAACCAAGAATAAAAATAAAGAAGATTCAAAGAAAATGAAAAATGAAAGAAAAGACATAAACTGATGCCATAACAGTTAAAAAGATTATAGGAGTCTATTATGAACAATTATATACCAACAAATTGTATAACCTAAAAGAAATGGATAAATTTCTAGAACCTAGAAATTCATATAACTTCCCAAGACTGAATCATGAAGAAAAAGAAAACCTAAACAGATCTTTAATACGGAGATTGAATCAGTAATCAAAAAAACCTCCTTACAATTAATAGCCCAGGGCCAGATGGCTTCACTGGTGAATTCTACCAAACATTTAAAGAAGAATTATTGCCAATTCTTTTTGAATTATTCCAGAAAACTGAAAAGAAAGGAACACTTCCAAACTCATTTTATGAGGCCAGCATTACTCTGACATCAAAGCCAGTAAAAGACACTACAAGAAAAGAAAATTACAGGCCAATATTCTTGATGAATATAGATACAAAAATTCTCAACAAAATACTAGCAAACTAAATTCACAGCACATTGAAAGAGTCATACACCATGACCAAGTGAGATTTATCACTGGAATGCAAGAATGATTCAATATAAAAAAAATCAATCATCGTGATACACCACCTTAACAGAATGAAGGATAAAAATCATACAAAAATCCGAAAGATGCAGAAAAAGCATGTAAAAAATGTAATATCTTTTCATGATTAAAACAGTCAACAAACTAGGAATAGAAGGAAATTAGCTCAACATAATAAAGGCCATATAGGAAAAACCTACAGCTAATATCATATTCAATGGAGAAAAACTAAAAGCTTTTCCTCTAAAATCAGAAACATAGCACTGGAAATACTATCCAGAGCAATTAGGCATGAAAAAAAAAGATAAAAGATATCCAAACTTGAAAGGAAGAAGTAGAATTATTTCTGTTCATAGAATGACATGATGTTATATAGAAAACCCCAAAGATTCCACCAAAAAATTCCAAAAAACTGTTAGAACTAATAAATGCAGCAAAGTTACAGGAGAGAAAATCAACATACAGAAATCAGTTGCATATTTATATACTAATAATGAACAATTTAAAAATGAAATTAAGAAAATCCCATTTAAACAGTATCAAAATGAATAAAACACTTAGGAACAAACTTAATCAAGGAGGTAAAAGGCTTATACAATGAAAAAATGAACAGGAGAATAACCTAATTATATGCATGCTTTCCTACTCTGAAAAATGCAAAAATATTATAATAGCTTTGATATTCCTGAATTATTGGCAGTGTTTTCTGGAAAGCAGCAATTACCTTCCTTTTTATAATTGTTCTGACATGCCACATAAGAGATGATGATTACATATACAACCCAATTATGAAGAAATGTTCTGTTTATACATGTCCACATAGATAATACAGGCAGTGAGTGGGTTATGTGCAATTCTTGAGGGTTCTAGCAACAGTTACACCTCTTCACTCTCTCTAAAGAAAGCACATTGGAGGAGCAAATGAGTACAAGCACCATTGTTTTATGAATAATTTTCAATGTACACTTAATTTTCTTTTTGCTGTATAGTAAGTGGTTAAGAGTGAGAGCTAGGCTGAAAGACTCCTGGCCTGGACTTCAAAAAAATGTCAGTATCCAGGCGTGGAAGTACGTAGTCCCAGCTACTAGGGAGGCTGAGGTGGAAGGATTGCTTGAGCCCAGGAGTTTGAGGCTGCAGTGCACCATGTTTGAGCCTCTGAATAGCCACTCCACCAGCCTGGGCAACATAGCAAGAACCCATCTCAAAAGAAGTTGTTATGAAAAATTAAAATGGGCAGGAGAACTGTTACAGATTGAAGGAGACTAAGCAATCATGAAAACTAAATGCAATGTATGATGCTTGATTAGATACTAGATTTAAAAAGTTATAAAGAACAGTATTGGGAAACTGGGAAATTTGCATATGTAGCACATATTAGCAGTATTGATGTAAAATTTGAGTGATAATGTTATTGTAGTTATAAAGGAGAATGTCTTTTTCTAAGATGACACATGCTTAAGTATTTAGGGGTAAAGTATCTTTATGACTATAATTTATTTTAATCAAAAATATATGTATGTACATTTATATTTATATATGTATAGATACTATTTTTTTAAAGAAAGCACAATAAAGCAAATGAGGCAAAAGGTGAATCTAGTTTAAATTTTTATGATATTCTTTTACTATTCTTTCAGCTTTTCTGAAGGTTTGAAAAATTTTAAAATAAAAAGTACGTTAAAAAAAGAGTAAGAGCCAGGGAATTCTGACTGCCTGGTGTTTGAATCCTGACACTGCCAACTATAGACTATGATCTTGGCAAGAGTCTCATCTGTTATTAGTCTCCATTCCTTCTTCTGTAATCAGTATAATAATAGTTCCTCTCTCCTAGGGTAGCCATGAAGATTAATATTGTACATATGAATTAACTATTATTAATTATAAGCTTGGAACTTTAACTCTTAATAGAAACAAATTACTTCGGTGACACATCACAGCTGACTGATCCTGCTGGGTTATGTCATTGCTGGGTAGAATGCCTTCTCCATGGAGCTCATGGAGTAGAACCAGCATGCTCCTTTAGAATTGCCAGGCTGATTTTTTAAAAACTGTTTTTATCCCTCAGGAGGCTTACCCTCTACTTAAGGCTTCATTGAAGTCCCAGGTCAACAGCTACGATGACTATAGTGAAAAAGTGGCTGAAACTTTTTATAACATGAGCAGGATCTGCTTTGCCAAAGGAGAACTTGGAAAGGCAATTCAGCTGCTAAAGAAGGTGAATGCCAGCTGATTTTGTTACATTTTCTACTGGGTTCGTAAGCAGAACGTGAGGAGTGGAGTGGTGTGAGGAGTGACGTATGTATGTATATATTTCCTTTTCCTTCCTTTCCATTACCTCTCTTTTTTTTTACTTCTCTCTCTCTCTCTCTTTGAAGTGATACATTCTCTTTTGAAAATTCTGCTTTCTTAGATGTGCTGAAGGGAAAATATGATACAAAACTTTTGTTGTGTCCACGCCTAGACCAGCATCTTTATTTTGTTTGGGAACTAGGTATAGCAGTGGCAGAATCTCATGAAAGTACTCCAAGGTTGGGTGGGATTAGGATTACCTTATAAAGCTATCCTTACCCAAGTACTGCTTCCCCTTCCAGAGAGTTCATTCCTTTGCAGTGGGGTGTAACAAGAGGTAGTCAACCAGTCAATATACTGACAGAACCAAAGCTAAAGACCTGGTAAGATATAGGTAGGTATATGTCTGCATAATAAAATATAAGTTTGTTCAAAGTCAGAGGAAAAGTTAGTGAAGGTCAACTAGTATTCAACTGAGCAGAGGGGGTAGAGTCAGAAGCAATTTATACATGTACATTGGCAAACTTCAGGTCTGGAGAGATTTTTATCTCATTTCAGGCTAACTTAGTATAATCAGAAAATAGCAGATCACAGGAGAAAGGGGACCTTATTTTGAAGATGCAAGGAGAAAGAAAGCCTTTCTGAAAATCAGTTGTGAGAACCAGAATAGTTTCTTCAAGGGAAGCATGAACACATGGATGGCCTCTATATAATGGGGGCAGGAACCTAAAAGGAGAGAGAACTGAAATGAAAGGATGACAATCTCAGGCCAAAAGATGAGATGAAAAATGCTAAGAGTGAAATGAGAAATCATTTGAGGGAAGCAAAAAATCTAATAAAATTCAAATCCACATTGAAAATAATAGTCTTAACATGTAGTAATGTTGAATAATATTTCTCAAATCTAGAATTGCAACAGTGTCACTAAAAAACAAAAACAAAAAAACAAATTCCTGAGGCTCACTCAGACTATCTGAATCAGAAGTTCTAAAAGTTGTGTCCAGAATTTGTGTTTTTAATAGTTCTAGAGGCAATTTTAATAATACTGCTGATTTTAAGTATCAGAGATTTATATGACAAACTCGAAAGCTCTCCCAGAATGCAGAGTAAAAGAAGAGAGGGATATAATGAGAAAGTAGTTGATGTTGAGGACAAAGTAGGGGTTCAGCCAATGAGTTGGTTTCTTCTTTCTGAAGAAGAAACTGTAGTAATTGGAATGGAAGCATTAATTAGATCATTGAACACAACTTTTCTGAAATGAAAAAAAGCCCCAGCATACACATTGTGTAAGGGCTTACCAAGTTCCACACAAAATTGATGAAAGGAGAGTCCCATCTAGGTTTTTGCTTAGCAGTGCATTTTTGATGGCATTTGCTATATACTGAATATTTCTATCCCTGTAAAATCATATGCTGAAACTGAATCCCCAAATGTGATGGTATTGGAGGTGGGGCCTTTGGGAGATGATTGGGTCATGAGAGTGGAGCCCTCATGAATGGGATTAGTGCAGTTGTAAAAGAGACCCAGGGAGCTCCCTTGCCCCTTGTGCCATGTGACATTATAGCAAGAAGATGGCTGCCTGTGAACCAGGAAATGGGTCCTCACCATACACAAAAGGACTAAGACAGCATGGCTACATCCTCCATTTGGAATAGGGATTCAACTTGGAAATTTAAGATGCTTAAGGGTAGGCAGCATTTGTATCTTTATCAGCTTTTTCCCTTAGGGCTTTAGATGTGGTCCTACTCCAATGCCTCAGCCCACAAGAGGGAGAGGGATAGAAGGGCATTCTGACAGCAGGGCTCTTGCTTCAAAGTTTGAACACCATCTTCATCCTGGGTATACATTAGCAATGGGATGCTACCAGTGAAGTATCTGAAATCAACTGTGTTGATGGGTACTGTTCTGGAAGTTGAAAACTACTTCCAGGACTAAAAAGAAGGGGAGAGACAGCATCAGCTTTAGATGCTGAGAGGAAACTCCTTTGACAAACAGAATATAGAATAAAGAGGGTCATGTATATTCCTAGTGACACTTTTGGCTGGTTTTTTTTTTCTTTTGGGCAGGTCAGGTTTCATGTAAAAGGAATCAAAGTTAAATGAAGTAGGATGGGAATAAGAAGGTATAGAAAAAACAGACATTAAAGAGTTATAATCTTGTGATGGAATATTTTTTATTGACAAACAATAAACTGCAATATTTGAAGTATATAAGTTGATTCGTTTTGACATCTCTGTACAGCTGTGAAATCATTACCACAATCAAGATAATGAATGTCAGTCACACCCAAAAGTTTCCTCATGTCTCTTTGTAATTCATTCATTCCACTCACTCCCCCAACCCTACCCATAAGAAATAACTGCTCTGCTTTTGTCATAATAGATATATTTGCATTTTCTAGAATATTGTGTAAGTGGAATCATAAAGAGTTTTACAAATTTGTATAAGGTTCTTTTGCTCAGCATATCATTTTAAGATTCATCCATGTTATCGTGTATATCAGTGGTTTATTCCTTTTTATTGCCGATACTATAAGGATACCATGATTTGTTTATTCATTCACCTAATGATGGACATTTGGCTATTTTCAGCTTGAGTTTATTATAGATAAAATTGCTGTGAACATTCATGTACAAGTCTTTGTATAGACATATACTTTTTGTTTCTCTTGGGTAAATACTTAGAAGTGAAATGGCTATCATATTATATGATAGGCATATGTTTACTTTTATAAAAAACTAGCAAAGTTTTCCAAAATGGTTTTATAATATTATATTCATACCAGCAGTGTATGAGAGTTCCAGTTCCTCCAATCCTCACCAACATTTGGTGTGGTCAGTGTTTTTAATTTTAGCCATCCTTATAGGTATGTAGTGGTACCTCATTGTGGTTTTAATTTGTATTTGACTTGAGCAGCATCTTTTCATGTACTTACTTTTCATCTGTAAATCTTCTTTGGTGAGTTGTCTGTCCAAATCTTTTGCTGAAATTAATGCATTTTTTGTTTTATTTTTGTCTTTAAAAAGTTATTTATATATTTGACACACAAGTTTTTTACAAAATATATGATTTGCAGATATTTTCTCCAAGTCTGTAGTTTCTTTTCATTTTTAAAATGTCTTTTGAAGAACAGGTGGTTTAAAATTCAATGAAGTCCAGTTTATCAATGTGTTCTTTTATGAGTTGTGCCTTTAGCATTTTTATCTAAGAAGTCTTTGCCTAACCCAAGTCAGAAATATTTTTCTCTTATGCTTTTTTTCTAGATTTTTTTTGTAGTTTTAGTTTTAACATTTAGTCTTTGATTAGTTTGAGTCAATTTTCCTGTATGGTATGAGGAATGGATCCTAGTTTAGTTTTTTGTTTTTTTTAAATATGGATATCCATTTGTTCCAGCACAATTTGTTGAAAAGATATTCCTTTCTCCACTGAATTATCTTTGCACCTTTGACAAAAATCAAGGTTTAAGATTTTTTTGTGTGTGTATATGTACCTATGTGTATGTTTATTTCTGGACTCTCTCTTTTTTCCATTGGTATCTATTGTCATGCCAATAGTATGCTGTCTTGATTACTATAGTTATAAAACAAGTTTTGAAACAAGTATCAGTCCTCTAGTAATTGTTCTTTTTAAAGTTGTCAGGGTAGTCTAGGTCATTGGCATTTCCAGAGGAATTTTAGAATTACCATATCAGTGTCTATTAACAAGCCTACTGATAGATACAATGATGGCAGTAATTTTGATCAACAGCATTTCACCTAATGAGTGTTGATACTTTAGGCCTGAGTGAAGAATAAAAAAGCAAAAAGCAGGGATTTTGATTGAGATTGCATTGAATCTATAGATCCATTTGGGGAGAATTGACATCTTAATATTTAGGCATCACACTCATAAACATGTTCTGTCATTCCATTTATATAAGTCTCCTTTAATTTCTCTTGGAAATATTTTGTAGTTTTTATTGTATAGGCCTTGTGGATCTTAGATTTATCTGTGTTTTATATTTTTTATGCTATTTTAAATGTATCATTTTTGAATTTCAATTTGTTTATTTCTCATATATACAAATATAATTTTTATATAATAATCTTATGTCCTATGACCTTGCTAAATTTGCTAGTTTTAGTATCTGTTTTGCAGATTCCATCAGATTTTCTACATAGATGATCATGTCATCTTATAAATAAATACAGTTTTACTTCTTTTATTCCAATCTGGATGCCTTTTATTTTTTCTTGTCATATTGCACTGACTAGAATATTTAATACAATGTTTAATAGAAGTGGTGAGAACAGGCATCCTTGTTGAGTTCTGGATTTCATGGGAATTTAGTCTTTCATTATTAGGTTTGATATTAACTCTAGATTTTTTTGTAGATTCTTTGTCAGGTTGAGGAGTTTTTCTTATATTTCTGAATCTTCTTTTCTTTTCTTTTTTTTTTTTTTTTTTTTTGAGATAGTCTTGCTCTGTTGCCTGGGCTAGAGTGCCATGGCATCATCACAGCTCATAGCAACCTCCAACTCCTGATCTCAAGCTATCCTCTTACCTCAGCTTCCCGAGTAGCTGGGAGTACAGGCACGTGCCACCACATCTGGCTAATTTTTCTATTTTTAGTAGAGATGGGGTGTCACTCTTGCTCAGGCTGGTTTCAAACTCCTTACCTCAAGTGAGCCTCCCACCTTGGCCTCCCAGAGTGCTAGGATTACAGGTGTGAGCCACCACACCCAACTTCTGTTTCTGATTTGTTGAGAGATTTTAATCAGGAATGGATGTTGTAATGTAAAATACTTTTTTTGTACTTATTTAGATAATCTGTGGTTTTTATTTTTGGACAGAGCTCATTTCTGTGTCTTCAAATTCATTAATTTTTTCTTTTCCAATGTCAAATCTGCTGTTAATTGCATCTAATGTATTTTTCCTATCAGACATTATAATTTTCATCTCTAGAATTTTGATTTGGGTCTATTTTTTAATGACCCTGCTTAACGTTTTTAACACATACAGTATAGTTACAATAGCATTTTTAATATACTTCTTTACTAGTTCTAACATCCGTGTCACTTCTAGATTGGTTTTACTTGGTTGAGTTTTCTCACTATGGGTCACACTATTCTGCTTTTTTGCATACCTAATAATCTTTGGGTGCCAGACATTGTGTATTTTAACTTGTTGGGTATTGGATATTTTTGTATTTATATAAATATTCTTACACTTTGTTCTGGAATTCAAGTTAAATTACTTGGAAACAATTTGATCCTTTAGTGTCTTTTATGATTTGTCAGATAGGAGTTGAGCACCATTTTAATCAAAGACTAGTTATCATTCTCCATTACTGAGGCAAGAGCCTTTGAGGACCCCACCCAAAGTTCCATGAACAGTAAGGCTTTACAGTAAGGCTGGTGGGAACAGGTACCACACCTAGCCCTGTGTAAGTGCCCAGCACTATTTCCTCCAGTCCCTTTAGATGATTCTTTCCCCAGCCTTGGAGTTTCCTTGTATGCTTGTGCTAATTAGTACTCTGCTGAATATTTGAAGAGGACCCACTGCAGATATCTGTGATCCTTTTTCTATGGAGGTATCTCCTCTCTGTTACTCTGCCCTGACACTGTTAGTTAGTTCTATTAGCGAGTCTGGTATACCCCATTTGGTCTCCCTTCTCTGCAACATGTCCTGGAAACTCTCTCAAAGCAGTAATCTGTGGCAATCATAAGTTTGACTTCATTTGTTTTCACTCTCAAGTATCAGTCTTTTGTTGCCTGATGTCCAGTGACTTGAAAATTGTTTAAGGCATTTTATCTACTTTTTATTTTTTGCGTTGTTCCAGGTGGAGGGTAAATCTAGTCCCTGCTACTCTATCTTGGCTGGAAACAAAGGTTATCAATAAAATTTAAAATGAAAAACTGCTTACTAGTAAAGTGATGGATATAGCATGAGAATCAATGCAACTTTGGAACACATACATGGATTTCATTTGTAGCTATCCATTTGGTTACAGCTATTTGGAAAATCCTGGTGGAAACCACTATTGCAGCCATGTCTTAAGTAGGGATGCTGTCAGTTTTTGGCCCTGTTACTTTGGTTATCCATAGGGACACATATGGTAATAATAGTATTAGGTAAACTGAAGTAAACTGAAGTGCATATGGCATGGGGAGTGCAGAGGGTAACTAAAGTGCCTTCAATCCAGACTCTTTTCCACCTTAGTAGGGAACCAGTGGAATGTAGTACAGGCATTAGAAATGTAGACTTGTGACATCTCAGTTCCACTGGTCCTCCTCTGAGTTTGCAATTAAGATATTTGCTATCTGATTCTCTTTAACCTCTTATATTATTTCTCACTTCACCTATAGTGTCTGATGATTCAAATCCTTGTATATGGAAATGAACACAGTAAAAGCAGAGAGACAAAAAACATCCTTACCCTGTTGCAGAGGTGAGTTCTGGCCCTGGCCATCAACCAGGTCATCAATGTGGCTATATGCACAGCATAGCCTTTCCATGATTCAACCAGGTAGAGGTAATTGACCTCTGTCATTCTTCCTAATGAGGTAGAATCCTACCTGTGCCATGGATTTGGCCAAATCCTGTACTTGGAATAACTAGTTAATTTCTTGTAGTCTTTCAGGACCCGGTATTGTAGGGTCTGTTGCAATAATATTTAGTCTCCCATCCAAGTACTAAACAGGCCCGACCCTGCTTAGCTTCCAAGATCAGGTACGTTCAGGGTGGTGTGGCCATGGACAATACTCAGTATTTATAATACCCCTTTCAATGCCGAGCATTGTAGCCAAACCCTGCAAGACAAGGTCATAGCTGACACAATGTAATAGATATGATATAGATTTATACAAAATAAATGAGTACATTAAATTATTTTTCTTTCTGAATATACAAAGTCTAAGTTCCTAAACATAAGGCAAATTTTGGGGGGATACAGTTGTCTCTAAAGTTAGTAATGACAGAGCCTCTTCAGATTCTTTTAAAAAACTGTTTAGAATTTAAGCCAAAGAGAGTTTTGTGCAGACTTATCCTATTCTTTATCCTTAGCATATCAGTAATGTTTGTTCATCTCAGAATAATGTTGACCTTGAACTATGCTGTTCTAAGAAAGAAGAGGATTGAAATTTGTTGAATGTATACTAAATTTCTAAAACTGTTAGGCCCTACTCATAAAGTATTTCATTTAATCCTTACAAATACCCAATAGGATAAGTTCTCATTTGTCAGAAGAGAGTCTGATGTTCTATAAAGGAATTTGCCTAAATTCACTCAGTCTTGGAGGTTTGGACTCCAAAGACCATGGGCTTTTTCCCTGACAGCCCTAACAAAGAGTGGCATTGTTACTGGGTGATAGTTGGGACCCTGACTGCAATCATGAGAGGTGGCTCACAATTGGTCCCCTTCTTACCAGGATCACCATGCTAGACAGGTGGGGGAGATCATGAGCACAGAGAATTCAGCCCAATTTCTTTACACCTGCCTCAGTCAGCCACAGCCAAGTAGGCATCACAGAAGGCTGTTTCATGTTTTATCATTTTCCAGAGGAGGAGAGTCTCCAGCCTCTCTCAGTAATGCCCATGTAAGGAGCATATAGAGGACCAGCAGCAGCCCAATATGGGAACTTTGCTCCCTGCCTGCTAGTGTATATGCAAGTATATTTTTTAATAACCATAAAAATGTTAGTAACTATAATGTCAAACTGCTGTCATTTCCCTGGCCTTGTATTATATATTTGTATATACTATTTCTGTTCTATAAGCCACACTGTTAGGTGGGTATTTTTATCTCACATGTTCAGGTGATGAAACTGAGGCTTAGAAAGTTTGAATATCTTATTCAAAATTACTTAGCTGGTAAGTGTGGTAAGATTTGAATCCAGGTTGATCAGAGTTCAAAAATGCCCTTCACTATGTTAGAGATTTGAGTATACATATGGGGATATCTGTAGCCTTCAGAACCCATCTTATATATGGAGAAACTGATAACTGATTTACTCAAGTTAATTTACCCAGAAAAGACAGAGCTAAGATTTAAATCTAGATCTCTCTAACTCCAGAATGCGCTCTGTAGCAGTACACTCTGAAGGCAGACTGTCTGGATTTAAAACTCAGGCTCCGGCCGGGCGTGGTGGCTCACGCCTGTAATCCTAGCTCTCTGGGAGGCCGAGGCGGGCGGATTGCTCGAGGTCAGGAGTTCGAAACCAACCTGAGCAAGAGCGAGACCCCGTCTCTACTATAAATAAAAAGAAATCAATTGGCCAACAAATATATATACAAAAAAATTAGCCGGGCATGGTGGCGAATGCCTGTAGTCCCAGCTACTTGGGAGGCTGAGGCAGGAGGATTGCTTGAGCCAGGAGTTTGAGGTTGCTGTGAGCTAGGCTGACGCCATGGCACTCACTCTAGCCTGGGCAACAAAGTGAGACTCTGTCTCAAAAAAAAAAAAAAAAAAAAAAACCCTCAGGCTCCAACACTCAGCTCTCTGACCTAGGTGAAGTTACTTTAACCTCCCTCAGCTTCCATTTATTTATCAGACAATATTAGTACTTTTCTCAAAAAGTGTGTTTTCTGAAAGTTAATGAGATCATATATAATACAGCACCTAGATCAGAGCCTTGCAAGTCTTCAATGAATATTGACATCATAATGACACAATAACAATAATAACAATAATTCTCTTTCTGAAGTGCTAGAGCTAATAGGTCAGAATATTTAAATAAGAGGCTTCTTTGTATCACTCTAATGTTATTATTTTATATTAAGAGTGATGGGTACAGAGTATACATTATTGGAGTCAGACCTGCCTGATCCTAACCTGACTCTTCCACTTACAAATTATATGACCTTGGGCAAGTCACTTAACCTCCCTGAATCTTGTTTCTCTGTCACTAACATGCAGATAATAGTAAACCACATAGAGTTTCTTTGAGTTTTAAATAAAATGATATCTATAATATGCATAGTACAGTGTCTGGCTTTGTATATGCTCAATAAATATTAGCAAAACACCCTTCCTCCCTCTTATTCACAGTTCACCACCTTTGTTTTCAGGGCAACAGGTCAGAATATTTGAATATCAGGGATAATAGTTAGCCAGTATTACCATATGTTATGTATTTGATAATTTGCAGGAGAATTTGAATTTCTGAACATATCTAAAGTACATTTTGTGTTTTGTTTATTTGTTTGTTTGTTTGAGACAGAGTCTCACTCTGTTACCTGGGTGAATGCTGTGGCATCAGCCTAGCTCACAGCAACCTCAAACTCCTGGGCTCAAGCAATCCTCCTGCTTTAGCCTCCCAAGTAGCTGGGACTACAGGCATGCGCCACCACACCTGGCTGATTTTTTTTTTTTTTCCTTTTTTTAGTAGACTCAGGATGTTGCTTTTGCTCAGGCTGGTCTTGAACTCCTGAGCTCAAGCTACTCTCTGGCCTCAGTTTCCCAGAGTGCTAGGATTATAGGCATGAGCCACTGCACCTGGCCCAGTTTGTGTTTTGAAGGACATAATAATGAAACTAAAAGAGCAAAACATGTAATTTCAGAGAAAAAAATGCATGATGTTTCCTCAAAACTGGAGCAAAATTCTACTCAGCTTATATTTAAAAAGAGAAACTTCAAAATAGCTGGAGTGACTATTGCCTCAGCAGTTTGCATTACTTTTTGTTGTAGTCTTTATTGTTCCTTCTTGGTGATTTGAAAAGAATCATAGAAGGAGAGATTAGAAGACATCATAAAGAATTCACACACCAGGTGGTACAAGTTTCTTTAGGTGCTTGGGGACTAATTTTTCCCTCTGTAAATGACAGTGAGATCTAGACCTACCGAGAAAGTCCAGGTAAAGGGAAAGAAGCAACCTTTGAAGGACTCCCTTGTAGCAGAAGTTGAATCAATAAAGGTTTCTCTTTCCCTGAATAAGCCCATATCTCATTCCCTAGGAACTGCTGAGCAAAGCTATGGTAGTAGTTGCCAAAGCCAGATGTCAAAACCTAGTACAACAATTGTTCTCTTTGCTTCAGCATCTCCCTGAAATAATCAATCCCAGATGTCCTGGAACTTGGCTAGTTTCTGATATGCTCATGCTTTTTACCTCACCTCCTCCAGAAACTCAGTGACAATACTCCCTGGACTTTCATTGCCAGGAGCCCGAATTCTTGGCTTTTGAAGTCTCTGCAACAAAGTTAAAGCAGAACTTGTCCTTGGAAATGGGAGTTAATTCCAAGGTTAAATGATAGTTGCAAAGACCACAAATAAGATTTTAGTGTATGGAAAAGGTGTAGAAAAATCTCAGATTTGGAAGTCAACTTTGAGGTTGTTTACTCTAGCTTTTGGCTAAATCACAAATGTAATTCAGTTTTAATCATTTATATATCCATCTCTTTCTAAGTACTGGAAATACTAATATGTTTAAGATATAGTCATTTAGGGGAAAACTGACACACATGACCAGATTACAAATCAGTCCGTAGTAAGTCTTTAATAGAAATGTAAACAAAAAAGACAAGTAATAAATTGTGAGGCTAGAAATGTAGGTGGAAACTGTGTGTAGCTTTGGGACTGGGTGCAGAATCTTCAAAGAAAAGTTGAATATCAGCAAGCAGGAAAGAATCCAGAGGAGAGTATTCCAAGCAGCATGAACAAAGCATAGTAGCATGGAGATATTTGATATTTCTGAGGAAAAGCAAGTGGCCATGAATAGGAATATGCTGGAGATGAGTTTGGAGAGATAGATTGGGTCTACATTATAGAATTCTTACGTGTTGTGCTAAGGACTTTAGGATTTATTTAGTAGATAGAGGCACTTATCAAAGAGTTTTGAGTAGGATGTGACATGAGACATGATCAGTTATTGGCTTTAGAACATTAACTCTGACAGCAATGGGAAGGATAGTTGGCAAGTAGAGAGAAGTAAGGAAACCATTTAGGAGGCAGATCCAATAGTCCAAGGGAGAGATGTTGAGACTCTTAATTATCTAAAGCCATAGTAGAAAGAATGCAGAGAGAATGGGTTGAGAAGCAATTTGGAGTCTGTGTTGTCAGACCTTGGGACCAATCAGATTTGAGGTATAATTGAGGCAGGAATCAAAGGTGGCTTTGAAGTTTCTAGTTTGGGCAACTTGGTAAATGACAATACTATAAATATAAATGTAATAGTTTTGGCAAGAAGAATCATCTTAGAGGTGATCTAGGGGGTCTGAGGAAGATGATTTCCATTTAGGATATGTTATGTTTGAGATATCCACGATACATATCTGCTTGGCAATGTCTAGGAAGATGTTGGCTGTGTGGACCAGGAGCTCAAGGAGATAGATTCTGAAGCCAGTGGAATGGATAAGATAACCTATGGAATACATATATGTGAAACAAAAAGTCTTAGGAAAGAACTGTGGAGAACACTTAAGTCATTTTGGGGAGAATATAATGTGATTTGGTAGCAGAATAGCTGGAGCTCATTATTTGAGCTTTCCCACTTATAGTGCGACTTCTGAAGGCTTAAGGCATATTTTCTTTATCTGTAAAAATGCAAATATAAGAGCACTCTATTTTAAATGCTTTATTTAATGAGTGGCACATAGTAAGTAAGCTTCTATAAAATGTTAATTATAATAACTATTACTGTGAATAACTGAGAATAACTAATAACTAATATTACTGTATTATTTAGGGGTTATGCAGAAAGAGGAACTGGAAAGGAGACTCAAAGAGTCCTTAGAGAATTAAGAGAGAATAGAAAGGAAATCAAAAGAGGAGAAAGTTTCGAGGAAGGAGTGGCCAATATCATTGTCACAAAAGGCATGATAGGACAGTTCGAAAAAGAGAAAATGCAAATGTCCAGTAAGCACAAAAAATTTTCAATCTCACACAGAATTAATAAATTCAAAACATTACCACAATATGATAGATTAAAAATGGTAATAAAATCCAGTCCTGTCAAAGATATGGGGAAATCAGCTCTTTTAGTACTCTATGGGACTATTTATTGATACCAATGGTGGATATTTTGGGAAAAGTTAATAGAATGTTTAAATACATATATCCTTTGGCTCTGAAATACCACTTCTAGGAATCAGTTTTTTAACATCCTTACACAAATGCACAAAGTATGTATTATATATACGTATATCTGTCTTCCTTATAGATTTGTTTATAATAGCAAAACAGTAGAAAACTCAAATGTCAGCCAATAGAAACACTGGTATGGCCATATAATATAGTCATTCAAAAGCGTGATATAGGGCCTTGAAGCAATCATGGAAAAATATCCCAGTTATATTGTTGTGGTAAAAGCATGAAAAACATATATTAATGAGTAATATATATATTAATAGTATAACTCACAAATATATGTAGTAACTGAAGGTAATAGTAATTATCTCTGGGATAGGATTATTGGGGGACTTTCCACTTCTATATATTTCTGTGTTATTTTACTTTTAGTTTTATAAATATTTGTGATAAAAAGATGAATTTTTAAAGAGTATGGTATATGGCATATGTGTCAAATATTAAGGGACAATGCACTGTAGTGGTGGGAGAATGGATTAGAGCCAGATGGCCTGGATTATAATCTCAGCTATGTTACTAGCTGCATGACCTTGGACAAATCACTTCTCAGTTTCCTCATCCATAAAAGGGGGATAATAATGTATATACTTCATAGTGTTTCTGTGAGTAAATGAATAATGTAAGTAAAACTGCCCAGAAAGATGGCTGATACTTAGAATGTGCTAATCAGACATGATGATGGTGATGATTGCAGATGGGAAGAGAATGATGACTAATAAGCCATTATGTTGGCCAACAGAAAATCATCAATGACATCACTGATATTAATGTGAGCTGTATGGGTCAAGAAGACCATTGAGATTACTGTTTATCCAGTACCTGATTAAATACCTCCCCATAATTAGAAACTGGCTCATTACCTTTCAAAGTGGCCCCTTCCATTACTGGACAGTTTTAATTGTCAGAATGTAGTAGTTAAGGTCATAGATTAAATGTAAAGTCAGATCTGTGTTTGACTCCAGCCTCCATCATTTTCTATGTGCTTAGGCAAGTTACACTAAGCTTCAGTTTTCTCTAATGAGAATTAGAATAGTACCTATAATATGGAAACATAATGAAGAGTAAATAAGATTATTCACATAAAGCTCTTAGCACAGTATCAGGCATACAGTAAGAGCTCAATAAATATTAGCTATTTTTATAATTCTAGCTAGCCATCCAAACTTACTGGAAATATGAAAGCAGGCAGCATCAACTTCATCTCTGTCCCTGCCAGATGTCTCTGGGACAGCTGCATACTGAAAAGTTATTTTGATATAACTTTTGATGAGTCTAAATCTGTAGAAGTCAACAGAAGGATTAGGGAAAACCATCCTTTTCTCTTGATAAGAGAAGAAGAGGGAAGGGTCCTCCATGACCATTCGCCTTTAGTGATCTACTTTCCTCTTGGTCATGTGAACAAAATGGAACAGCTTTTTCTGGGTTGAGGGGCTGAGGAGGGAAAGCCAAAGGAAAGTAGGATAGAAATGGGGCTTTGGGCTGATTACCTCCAGGGAGAAATGCAGCAAGGAAAAAGAAAATAGGTGATATGTTCACTAAGCTTTGTTAGCCAAACCAGTCTTGGGCAGGACTTTAGTGATGAAATTTATGCTTCATAAAATGGATTGTTTCCAGGTTGCCACATTCATATTCTTTCATTTATTAGTAAATATCTCAACACTGCCTTTATGAAATTAAAGGAGAAAATATTTGGCCAAACCTTGGTAGGAATGAGTGAGGAGCACAATCCAACATCAGGTGCCAAGGGGCAGCAGCTTTTGCAAATCAGGGCTAGGAATAGCTGGAATAGATAGAGAAGTGAAAACTCAGAAGCCTTTAGTTCCCTGCCTTTGGGTCTCCCTTTTGGTAAACAGGGCTGCTAAGACACAAAGAGCCAGCTCAGGATACCTTGTCTTCAGTAGAATAGTGAGGAGCTTTGCAATCATCACTGTATCATGCCGATAAAAATGGACTGATTGGAGGGTATAGATTGGAATAGAGCAAGGAGAGAAAATATACTTAATCTCATGGGCTTATTCTGTTACTGGTTTCCTGGAGTGATGCTTGAGGTTCCAGAGCAAATGGCTGGGTTTGGTGGAGCTTGATTTGTTAGTGTTGTCTGCCTTGGGTATGAGTGGGAGAATAGCTGAACTTCTATTACATATTTGCTATTCAGGTATAGAGAAAAGACCACTGTACTCTGAGTCAAGGTGAAACCTAATAGCTATGTGACCTTAAGTCACTTAAACATTCTGAGCCTGTTTCCTCTTTATTCCTTCCTTCTGCAAACATCTGGTGAGCACCTATTAAGTGCTGGGTGCAGTTAGAGCTGCAGGTGGTAACAGAGATAAAACATGGTCATTAATCTTAAGGGAACAGCCATCTAGTGCAAGAGACAAACATGAAGAAATAATGAAAATAATGAAGAATAAGTTCTGAAATAGAGGTCTCAGTGCCATGATAGCAGACAGGACAATCTATTAGAACTGGAGAAGATTTCATACAGAGGGTGACATTTGAGCCATTTCTTAAAGGGCAAGTAACAATTCATCCCAATGGAAAAGAGAAGCCATTCTCGGAAAAAGGAACTCTATATGCAAAGGCACAGAGGCGTGACAGAGGGCAGTGTTTCACAGGAATGGTAAGTGTCTTATAGTTGTTGTACAGGGCAGCATGTCTTAAGGGGGACTGCAAGGAATGCTGATTCCAAAGGATGTGCACTGGTTATGTTGGGGAGGGAGAAAGGTTCTCTGGCAGAAAGGCAGAAATCAGTTTAGGGAAAAAACAACTAGGTTAAGTAAAGTGACACAGGTTACTTTCCTGATAGACTTCTTCGGACTTTTAATATACAAAATTTATCTATTGGTATGTTGAGAACAAATCAAATTTTTAAAAAACACTGTATTTTTATATACCTGAAGTATTTTTGAAATGGCCGGTGATTTAAATTTTGGTTTAAATAAAACCTTGTACCAAAGTAGAGAAACAAACTAAGGTTTGGTTTTATTTAAAGCAAAGGGTGTAACACATGCTTGAACTGAGGGTATACAAGAATACTTTGGTAGTTTGTAAAGAATTTGGGCCTCACTTCAGGACATAAAGTCTTTATGAACAATGACTGTCTCAGCAGTGAACTATTTTATCTGATCATAGAAACATGACTTCAACACTTCCCTATGAACTAATTTTTCTTTATGATTCATGGTGGTTAAGAGATATAGTTACGGAGAGCACACGAGCATGAGTTCCAACCCCAGAACTACAATTTCTAGCTGTGTGTAATTCTGGTTTCCTTGTCTGTAAGATGGGGATGAGTATATAGTACCTATCTCCTAGTGTGGCTATGAAAATAGATGAAATAACATATGCAAAGTACCTAGCAAGTGCCTGGCCCCATAGTAATCATGTGCTAAATAACAGCTATTTTTATTTTTACTGAAACCTGGGCTTTGACTTTGTTACCTTCTGGTTACACCATTGGTGCATGAAGTGAATGGAGGTGGGGGCTGGTTACCTTGAAAAGCTACAACCAAGCTGATGTGAAAAGATTTTGCTAGTTAACATCTCAAAAGTGATCTAGACTCATCAGATTCTGGAAATATAGATAATAACATAGACAAGGTCTGACACAATCACTTTAATCTAAAGAAGATAATATATACACTATGGAAATGAGTTGTCCTTTCAGTGAACTGAAGATTTCAGGCAAAGGCAATCCTGCCACCTTGTGGTGGGAGAGGAGGAGGCCCGAGGCTAATTCCTAGTTACTATCTATCCTTAGCAGTTTCTCTGATTTTATGAGATCCCTGGGCAATTGACTTAATCTATGCCTATTTCCTCTGCTAATTTGGAATCACATTATCTCTTGGTTTACTGAGATGGAAGTTGAAGTGCCAGATAGCTCTCGGTATTTATACAGTCTAGTAGTAGAGAATGAACCAGGGTCAACTGTGATGTGCATAAAAACTCCAAGTTGCTCATAAAATTTTGTATCTCATATTTCTAGGAGGGAAATTATTTTTTTCAGGAAAATAATAGCTATGAAAACCACACTTTTTGCAAGCTTGAGGTGATGACTGAATAACACTTGATAGAAACTGTTTTGGGAGCAATCTTTTGGATCATATTACTTGAACTCCTGTTCAACTCCTTTAGTATTAGGAAATCAGAGCCTGGAAATCTTAATGGCTAGAAATAGGGAAGATAGAGCCTTCTTTTTAAGATTTACAAGACCTCCGGGTTCAATGTCTGTGCTCATGAGAAGAAATCACCTGGAAATCATGAACTATACAAAAGGTCCTATATTAGATAGGTTTTTTAGCTGAGATTAAAAGCAATCAAGGTAGCTCAGATATCCTTGGTTTGCCATCTGAATCAAGGGAAGAGCTTCCTGCTTTGTAGCAAGAAAACGCAAGACTCCACTCCCATTTTGTACACCTATTAGAAGAGTCAGCATTTTGCAGGTTATGGTGATGTGGTGAAATGATAGTGACATAGTTGCTTTAGGCTGAGTGCAGCCTTCTAGCTCAGATAAGGCAGTGATTTGCTGCCAGGAAGGCAGGGCCAGTTATAGAGCAAGAGAAGGCATGGAACCTTCTCCCCTTTCCTCCCAATGCACAAAAGGTTTTCTCCTTTCCTCTAGGTCTTCTATTATCAGTAAATAGAAAACATCTATACAAGATAGCCAACAATAAAAGGCAACCTTATTGATAATAAAAATTCTGGAACACAAAATATGTTTACCAACACTGATAGCAATGGCAGATCAAACGCAGATGAACAGTTTTTCACTAAGGACTCTGGAAAAAAAGATCCACTTAGCAGAAGCATTACAGGTAAAATACCCAAGAACCATTAGAAACCAGGATCCTTTTCTATTAACTTGGGGGAAAGAAATCTTTAGACACATGCTTTAAGTTTAGTTTCCTATGTCACTGGGACTCCATTACCTTCTATTTCCCCTTTTTTAACTCAAATTCTATTCCTTTCAGTTCTAATTTTTTTTTTTTAAATTTACAATACCTAAGCAGTTTTATTGGTGAACATTTTAATGTACTATAATTGACCCTTGAACAACTCAGGGGTTAGGGGCACCAATGCTTCATGCATTCAAAATCCACATATTACTGTGGAATCACTCCAAATTTTACTAATAGTCTGCTGTTGACCAGAAGCCTTACCGATAACAAAAAAAGTTAACACATGATTTGTGTTTTACGTATTACATACTGACTGTATTCTTACAATGAAGTTAGAGGAAATTTTCTTAAGAAAATCATAATGTAAATACATTTACAGTACTGTACTGCACTTATTGATACCATAAGTTTATGTTGTCTGTTTACAAGATGAATCTTCTGCAATGACGGCAAGTGCAGCTGCAGACATCAATCTAGTTAGGGTACATATCAAGCAATTCATCTTTTTCTATAACATCATGACTTTCCTCTGCTTCTTGGGAGCACTTTCAGCACCATTAGTGGCACTTTGTATGGGTTCCATGATGTTATTTTAGGTTTACAGTATTGCACTAAACATGATGAAAAATACACAAGAACTGTGAGAAATCACTTTTTGCTGTGATACACAATTTACTGGACAGATAAACTGCTCATGCAGAGATGATCAGCATCACATGGCATTTTAAGTGGATACTCACAACACTTGAGCTTCAACACGAGCTCACCACAATAGCAACAACAGGAAGTGGCAATGAAATTATTACAGTATGGTAGTGCAGTATGTACTGTAGGGAATTTTATGTAGTCATGACTTAATTCTGCATATTTACATTGGATTATGTTTTTCTTGACTGCGAATGGCACCATGTACAGCCTGTTTATGTGTGTAAGTTTTGATAAATTTTAACTTTTCATGACTTGTGTGATTTTCATGACTAACACATATATTTTATACATTCCTGACATACCTAACTTAAAAAATGTTTTTCAATATTTCTAGACTACAAGGTTCATCTGAGTTTTTCCAAATTGTTGCAAAACTCCCCAAATTTTCCAATATAATTAGTGAAAAAAATCCACATATAAGTGTACCCATGCAATTCAAACCCGTGTTGTTCAAGGGTCAACTGTATTTGGAAGTGTTTAGTCACCTATTTGAGCTCACTGAAACTGCCACGTTTGATCCTTCTGAAACATTTGCCCTGATCTGATTTGCTGAAGTAAGTATTCATGTTATTTTATAAATGAAGAAACTAGGGACGAGAGATTAAGTAATTTGTTCAAGATTAGCCTGGTAATTATAAAACTGACTTCTTGAATCACAGATGATTACTCTTTCCATTCCATTATGCTACCTCCACTAAACCGAATTAAAAAGGAATACTCACTGAGATTGTTCATGAATAAAATCCTTAGCCCTTGAACAAGTGTATATCTAGGAAAAGAAATTGGCAATCTTGAATTATATTCCTTATTTTCTTTTTCATGTATTCAGAAATGAAGGAGAAATCTCATTCATATTTACATTACAGAAAAATTTTATTAATATTTTTCCCTCTTCATCTTTTCTCGGTTGAGCTGCTTTAATGCTGCTCAAAGACCCTGTGTCTTTGCAGATCCAAAGACTACCAACATCTGTATCACTTAGTGCTTACAGAACCACATTTTGGTTTTATTCGTGAAATTATTTTATTTCGATCATTTGTTCAGTTCACAAAATCTAATAACCAGTACCTAAGTGTATAGTGAGTAGTGTTCTGCTGTGGCAGAAACATATATATACCAATTAATTCAAAGGTTTCTCCATTGACTGATAGGCTTTCTCCTGGCGGCTGCCAACTAACTCTCAAATACATTAGGCTTGGCACTCAGGATGACGTCCCAAGTTGCCACCCTGGCTAAAAGCAGCTATATTCCATTGTCTGTCTCTGCAGGGCTTTTTAATTGATCACTTGGCCTGGCATTGTTAACATTACTCCTGTCTGGAGATGGGGCTGCTGTTCTTACCCAGCATATTGTGAATTGACTAAAGTAGCCTTAGAAGAGTTGTTTCCATTTTCACATACCTAGCTGAAAATGGATTTTCAATAATGTGGTAAAAACAGAGCACCAGAAAGAAGTGGATATTTAGCCTCCATTTTGGGTGGCACCAAAGTTTTAAAAATGTTACTATTTCATGCCCTTAAGATCTCTATAAACTGATAAACCAGTATCGATAAAACAGTAACATAAATACAACATTGTAAAATAAAATTTTATGGTGTACCTGTTCTTGCACTTGAAATTTATGTAACCTATGTAAGCTCAGTGAAGCCCTTTACTTATGATTTGGTAAGTTTACCCACCACTTTGCATGAAAGGTCCACTTCAGGCAGGCTTGACAATATTCCGGAGATAGGATTGTCCTAACCCAATCAGCAATAGCAACTAGAAATTCTGGGATGAAACCATAGGAGACAAAACCATTTAGGGATCAAGCCTCAGGCACCATGCCTAAGGGCACAGTACTAGATTTTTACTTCCTTTTCATCCAAGGATGAGGAATTACTCTAAAACAATTTCGTCAGTTCACATATCCTGAATACTGCTAATTTTACCAATGAGAGCCACTACTAGGATCTATTATATTAATCAACAAGCTACTAATTTCAAAAAGACAACCTACTTCACAAATTTACTTTGCTGATTTATCAAAACCTCTGGCAGTGACTGAGATGGGACTTCACAAATTTACTGTGCTGATACTAGGTACTGTACACACCAGTAAAAGCATTGTACACACCAGTAAAAACAAAACAAAACAAAAAAGACCCCATTTTAAATTTAAAGGAAAACTGTAGTCCCTGAAACTATAATTTTTCATAATTATGTTTTAAGGTTTGTTCTTGGTATTTATCTAAACGAAAAGCATTTTGACATTTATTACAGTAGTTTCATCTATTTCCTTCTTGAACACATACTTTATAAAATTCCAACTTTTGTAGCAGCTGGGCATCCTGAGATTGCTTAAGTGACTGACCAGTTACCAGGTACCTACCTTGGCTATCTCCCAAAACTGTACATATGCCTGGGAAGCAGTGACTATCGTTGTTCTGGAACTTTGTTGCAACATTCTCCAAACCATTTTCCTCTAAATATTATGTGACCTATTTTAAGGTATGGTGTTACTAATATATATAATATATCCTTAAATTTCAGTAAATATCAATGAGTGGTTCTCAACAATCAATAATTTGGGGTACTTTTATTTGGGGGAGGAGGTGGTCACAATGACTGGCATTAGGGAGTAAGGGCCAGGAGGGCTAAAAGAATCCTACAATGGGATGACAGTCTTTTACCATAAAGAGCTGTCCCACCCAAAAAGTCAATAGTCCCTATCCATGTAGAGACACTGAGCTGCTGTCATCTGGTACAGTAACAAAGACAGAAACTTCATTTTAGTCATACAATTTTTTTCTACTAGAGAACAAGCCAGATAATTTCAGTTATTAAATATTTTATTACATACAAAAAATATTTATATGCTACAAAAACTGTTTCAGTGAAAACTACCCAGGAAGGTACAAAATCACATAATAACTAGTTTTTTTTCTACACCTTGGTTTGGTCAAGAAACTTACAGGCAAATGGAAGGTATCTAGGAAGTACTTACTGTAGTACTTACTGTTCAGTTTTGAGAACAAGAAGAAAATATGTAACTCTGAAGACATATCTTATTCATAGATTTCTTCAAAAGGTATACTTTATAAATAAATCATATAAAGAATTGTTCAGACTTGTTTGGTGATGTCTCAACTTCAGAATGTTTGCAAAGAAATCACATGTAAAAGCAATCACCTCAATGCAATTAAATGCTTTTTTTTCCTTTTTTAAGTATCCTTTAAAATAGTGGTTCCCAAACTTTAACGTGCATGAGAATTTCCTGGAAAGAGCTTGTTAATATACAGATTGCTGGCCTCACCTCCAAAGTTTCTTATAAGGTGGTTCTGATGCTGTTGGTCTGGGCAGAATACTTTGAAAACCACTGCTTTAAGATCTAGTCTCCAGAATTCAAACTAATAAGCAATGCTCATATACCTTTGCTTTTTCTAATAGTAAACAAATAAAAGAATATTGCAGATATGGCTTTGACAAACTTTAAATCTTTAGATTCTTGAAATATTTTACTGAAATAGAACATATTAATTTATGCACCTCAGCTCATAATGATTCCCATGAGTTCAAAAGATAACCACAGGACAGTCCAATTCTGGATAATCTATGACAACATGAAAACATTTTACAAAATACATTGCAACTATTAGGGTGCAGGGACCTTGCTCCTATCTTCTCCGTGCTTCTCTAAAGAAAATCTAATAAATTATAAAAATACTATACTTAGAATGAGAACTTAACCTATCATGAATGTATACATAAAATAACACAGTGAATTATCATACTCAGGACTCAGATTCAGGAACTTCTTCATCAGGGCAGCAGTAATATTCCACAAAACATATTTGTCCGTCTTCATTTCTAATCATATACTGCAGTGAAAGGAATCCTCGGTTATCTGTCCGAATAGATACCTTACAAGATAGAACTAATGCCTTTGTAGATGGTTTCAGTAGAGAAATCTTGTATCTATAGAAAAGTAAATAAAAAACTGTTATTTTGATATACTCAACACTGTGTTCATAATTTGAAATAAAGGACAAAAAATAGCAATGACTACCAAGCCGCAAATATAAGAATAATATCAAGTACTTATCCAATTTGCTAATATGTTCTTTTGGTTTTTTTTTTTTTGAGACAGAGTCTCGCTTTGTTGCCCAGGCTAGAGTGAGTGCCGTGGCATCAGCCTAGCTCACAGCAACCTCAATCTCCTGGGCTCAAGCAATCCTCCTGCCTCAGCCTCCCGAGTAGCTGGGACTACAGGCATGTGCCACCATGCCCAGCTAATTTTTTTTCTATATATATTAGTTGGCCAATTAATTTCTTTCTATTTATAGTAGAGACGGGGTCTCACTCTTGCTCAGGCTGGTTTTGAAACCCACCTGGGCCTCCCAGAGTGCTAGGATTACAGGCATGAGCCACCGCGCCCAGCCTTCTCTTGGTTTCTTTTAAAAATTCATCCACTATAACTCTGAATCCCCAAATAAGTCTGGCACCCTACCGTTCCCTTTTAAAAAATGTCACGCATTTTTATGCACAGGGAGAATCAATGAGAAAAAAAAAAAGAACACAGTAGAAAAATAAATAAATAAATAAAGTAAAAATGTTATGTATTTTTATTAACAGATTAGAAGGTTTTTTTAAATTTATTTAATAGAAATTTGGTATTTAACCTCATCTTCATCACCAGTGGCAACCTCTATATTAAGAACTGACCTGTTGACCTGGGTCTGATTACAATGAAATGCTTCCATCAAATCAGAATCTTTGGGATAGTCAAGATGGGAACTTCCTGCATTTCCAAAAGTAGATAACCTACAGAAAATGGGCAACTCGTTTATTCATTGGTCCAACAATAAGCCACATTAGGAAACAAGTAAAGCAAACATTTCCTTAAGAAGCTTATATTAGTAGATAAAACAGACATGTAAACAAATGTTTACAATATACTGTAACAAGTACCATAATAAAGGTTCCCACAGGATGCTGTGGAGTACAGGGCAACTAGCAACTAATTAATACCTTTGAAGAAAACTAGTCACAAAAGGAATGGCAGGGCTGCTTCAATTTCATTACCTTAATCCTAACCTGATAATGACTTTTCCTCACGCTAAGTCAGAAACATGTAACAGAGGACAGTGAATTGACAAGTGATGGAAGATTTGCTCTAAGTTAACTGCAAGCCTTGGGTCCTCTTCCCAATCTTTACTGCCACACTATGCAATCATGGCTTTTCTGTCTCTTACACTATACTCTTAAGGCTGGTTTATGGTTTTCCTCATTTGGCTGTATCAGCAGTTGTGTGTAGACAATATATAAATGTTAATGTGTTGATTTAATTTGCAAGAACTTGAGGATTTGCTGAGGTTAGCATGTTGATAAGTACTAAATGAGCATGGTAATAAGACCTAGGTGTTTTCCCTAAGCTCCATCTCTACTCTTCATCTTCCAGGTGTTGGTTTTCCCAGGGTCTTTCTTTCTTTATTCTTCTGTTAGTAATATAACTTCTTTCTCTGATCCATCCATCCAGGCCCAGCCATGATGATCCTAAATCTAAATTTCCAGTCTAGACTGATCTGAGTGCTATACCTATATATTCCTATAGGTGCTCCCTAGTGTCACAGGTACCTCAAATTTAACATATCCAGAAAAAAATTTCAACTCCTACCTCCCTACTACCAAATCATTTCCCATCCTGGAGATGAAAGATACCATGATCTATCTAGTTATCCATGCTGAGAGAGATCACTTGGGAAGAGATACTCTGAAATACTAAGTGCCTATAATTTAATTCACACCACTGCTTAAGTAGGGTTTCTTTGATTTCCATTTTGTTTTTTTTTAAAGACAGGGTCTCATTCTGTCACCCAGGCTGGAATGCAATGGTGCAATAGCTCACTGCAGCCTCAAACTCCTGGGCTCAGGCGATCCTCCTGCCTCAGATTTTGGAGTAGCTAGGACTACAGGCGCATGTCATCACACCAGCTAATTTTTTAATCTTTCATACATATGGGGTCTCACTGTATTACCCAGACTTGTCTCAAACTCCTGGCCTCAAGTGTTCCTCCTGCCTTGGCCTCCCAAAGTATTGGGAATTAAAAGCTTGAGCTACCACCCCTGGCCAGATTTCCACTTTGATTAACATTTTAATAAACCTTGAGGCAAATTTTTAACTGCCTAATGCCATGACAAGAGCCTGAAATTCTTCTAAAGTAGATACAAAAAGAACAATATTTTATTCCACGTGAATTTTAGCTCCTTTATTCTTTGAGATTCTGAAATATTTCAAAAAAGAATATTTAGATCCCCTTTCTCATCTGTCAGAATCTCTAAATTGATTCTAATCCTGAAAACAGACTAGCCATTTTATAATTTATTGGGTCAAAATATCAGAAGCAGCTTTATAGTTTTTGACACTGTATTCCTGCTGAAAGTTGTCCTTCCTTAGGAAACTGATCTTGACCAATCCTCCCTAAGTACTCATGTACTAAGGTCCTAAGTATCTCTATGTATAATTATAGTACTTAATGGCTAGCAATTTGTTCCCTCTCTGCTGTTTCACATATTTCCTCTTTGCCTAGATTTTAAGCTATTCTTCCCATGGTGCTTAATAAGATGGATATGCACTCAGTAGGTGATCAATAGATACTCAGAAAACATCTACTTCTTTCTGCATCCAGAACTAACTTGAAAGAAAGAAAATGATACTATATAATACAAACATCTTTTTGAAAGGTTTAAGCCCAATTTTCCTCATAATGTAACCTGGTCGACAACAGTAAGTAATACAACAATGAAAAGACCATTAGTTTATGAATTAGGTGACTTGGTTTCTCATCTAGAAACCAACACTACCTATGAAACCCTAAATAGTGAGTTAATCTTCCTAGTGCTTAAGTTTCATGATTTGTAAAATTATGAGGTTAGAGTACAAGCTCTCTAAAGTTCTGAAAATTCTAGGAACTTAGATAATAAAAATTCTGTATCCTTAGCAAATGTATAGGTGGGGAGATGGAGTATAGACCACATTAACTATAACTGCAGTGCTCTAAAGTACCTGAAATAAGGCTTGTTGGGAGACATGGTAATCTGTAGGACCTCACTTGTCATATCCAATTCGGAAAATGCTTCACGGAGCCCCTCTGACTGCAGAATAATTTTATTAATAACATTGGTGCTGCAGAAATCAAAGTCCAGTGTCTCCTCAGGCTCCTGAGTATTGATTTTGCAGACCGTCACCACTCCTCCTTCCTCCAGGAACAGCATCAAAGGGTAACCATAACCTTGGTAACACATCCGAAGTGCAGTTAAAGTCCCTGTAGCAATGGAAGAAATAATACTTTGCGCTTAGCTTCTGAGTTCAGCTTCTCCAAATGATACATAAAATTTCTCAATAATTCCTTCTGCCCAATTCCTAGCATATATGTATCTCCTCATAAGAAGGGATTACACCTTCCCTGATGACAGGTGTGTGTTGACAATTCGAAAAATAACTGTAAGAAAACTGAGAACCAGAACAAAATATAATGTAACCTTCTATAGTCATTCTCAGCTTGTCAAAAACACCTCAGAAATAGCTTATTGATTTTATACATATGCAGTTTCAGGATGAATTCAGGAGAATCTACATGGACTAACACAGCAAGTAACATAATTGTTGTAGAATAGGCTATGCTATTCCTTGAAGATTCAATTTGTGCAACAGTGGATTGCTTTGATTTTGTCTATGATGTCAGTGTATTCACTATAAGGATCCTTCCAACCTTTTCTACTGGGAGATATTCTTTATATTTTCTTGAATTTTAAGATCAAATTGAGAAAGAGAGAGGTTAATGGTGGTGTGAGTTTTAACACTGCAAACACTAGAGGGAAGGACAAATATGACAGGATATTTGAGCTCCTTCCCCTTATTGGATGGATAGCCATAGTGAAGAATGGAGGAAAGCATATATTTTTATGAAAAACCAGCTGGCAAACACTGTATTAGGAAATATATAATTAATAATAGAATTGTCAGTGCAAAATTAAAATATATTTTTCTGGAGATCCATAATTGAATTTTCCCTAGCTAATCTCCAGGCTGCTTTCCTGTGAAATAAAATCATTCTTCTGGGGATTCTTCGTAGTTTTATATCCATAGCAACTGAATTTCACCATTTTTAAAAATAATTCCCTAAACAAATAAAAAAATGTAGTTTAAAGGAAAGCATTTGGGAAAATAGACAATTTATAAACAGGCAAACAAATTTTGAACACAAGCCAGGACATCTGGCTTTTGTTTTTCTCTGCCACTAACTAGTTGTGTAATTCTGGACAAGTTAGGGAAAATTTTCACAGCAATTAAAACATATTTCACAATGTTAAAGATATTTAAGACATGTCCAAAGTATTCTTTTGGCCAGTTCAAATTTAAAATCCCAAAAGCCTTGTAAATTAAAAAAAAAAAAAAAGATGAATATAAATACTTATACAAATATGAAAGGAACTATAAACACACTTTCAGTTGATATTATGAAACATCAGAATCCATGATTTTCACCATTGAAGAATGAATTGGCAATTTTCTAAAGAAATGTTTATATTCCAAATAATGTCCTGTATTTTTCTGATCAATATGTGTAATGCTTTTGTCTTTAAAATGATAATAAAGTGGTTTACCTGGCATAGGATTTGATCCAAAAATAGATAAACAGTCTAAAAGGACAGTTAAATTAATTCGAAAAGTAACAGACTCTTCCTGAACTGTAAACTCTTGAAATATTCCAGCCTACAAAAAAAGTAAACATGAAAATGTGGTTAGATATATTAAAGAATTAAAACTAATATATATGGTTCTAGATTTCACTTTATATGTTTTAAAATAACAATATTGTGTTAACCCAGTGAGACTAATTCCTAATTACCAATCAAAACATCTTTGCTTTATCCATCATAACAATGCTATTGAAAGTTTAAGGTGTAATAGTGATTTAAGCCCCATGCAAAACTTTATTAAGGATAATCATCTCTATTCCTGGATCTGAAACTATTCCCCATGTGACTCTCCCCTGTGTCATTTTTGTGTCCATCATTTCCACTAAGGCCACTCGGAAAATAGTCACAGAATTTTATAATGCATGTGTGATATTAGTTTTCAATTTCTTTTAAGGACAAGAACCATGTCTTATTTATCCCTCCATTCCTGAGGTCATACTGTGCACTTAGGTGTTGAAAAAAATGATGAATTAAATCTGAAATCTTATCTGAACCATACAAATAATATTTTGTAACAACAAAGAGTCTGTTACAACCAATAAAAGCAAAAGCACTTTTTCATAATAGGGAGGTTGTTATAACATAGTGATGAAGTTATAACATAGTGGGTTCTCATCCCAATTCAGCCGTTTACCGGTTATGAGACTGCTGGCAAATCACATTGTGCCTCGTTTCTACATATGTAAAGATGGGAGTAACAACAGAAGGACTATTGCAAAGATGAAATAAGTTAAACTCTCAGAGAAATGCCTTGCCTATAGTTTAGCTGAATAAAATTTAGTCAATATTATTAACCATTATCTCTGTAAAACAAAATGGGAAAAGAATGTTACCAGGAGAGAAAAGAATTCCAATAATGACATTTTTCTCTCTAACTTAAATTGCTTCTAAGATCTTCGAAATTCATTAAACGCACAAAGAAAATCATATGTCACAGGCTTAAAAGTGCCTAATTCCATACCTGAATAAAAGCATTTGCTTGCACACACTTTGCATTTTCCACGGTAACTTTGATTCCATTTTTAGTAGCGAAACACGTGGCATGTTCTCTGAAATGAATAGCTTTCAAGATAGTGGAGAGATTCCTAACGTTGTCCAGGCTGGCCACTAAGCTGTACTGATCATTCTCATCTTGGATATGCTGGGTTAGGAGGGGCATCGTCCACTGCACATTCGGTCCTGAGGGGTGCTGCTAGGCCCAACACCTGCTCCCACAGATCACGAAACACCTGACAAGATTAGACAATAAAAACTCCCTTGTCAATGCCGACGAGGTCTGGCGACCTCAACCCACGCTGGGGCGGTGTTAATTAAGGGGCCTGGGCGTTAAATTCGGCTGACCAGGCCAACCCCACCTTTATCACTTAATTCCCTGTAACTTTGGGGAAAATTACTTATCTCTCAGCTATGGGTTCCTTGTTTTCACTATGGAGACAGTAACAGGTGAAAAGTTGTGAGGAATGAAAATATGTAACTGACACGGTAGTCCCGCTCATGTCAAACTACTCATGTCAAACAGAAGCTACCAATCCGCAGTCTGCCCGGAGCCGCCCGCGCCACCAACCTAGCCTCTAACACAGCAGGCGATGGGGCGGCCCTGACGCCCCGCTCTGAAGGTCCTCTAAGAGTCACCGGCCCGCCCGCAGGGCAGCATCCGCTTACTAGTGCCGGGACCCCGGGTGCGGAAACCCTACCTTTGCGGTGGGGTCCGGACGCCCGAGAGTCTTTCCCAGCCAAGTCCCTGGGGAGGTGACCGGCAGTTGACGGGAAACCGTGGGAGAAGCAAGCGGCTCCCGCCACTCTTTTCAGATCAGCCCTCCCCCTCGGCCACCGTCACCACAGAGCCGGAGGAAGCCGGGAGAGCCGCACAAACAGCACCGCGAGACCGGAAAAAGGCACCATAGAGCTGGAGGAGGACCAGAGAGCGAGCGCATAGAGCGGTGCCATAGAGATCGGAAGGAGGAGCGAGCGGCAGAGCCGGAAAGAAAGCCACGAGCGACGGTGGTGAGGCAAGATGGCGGCGACCAAGAGGAAGCGGCGCGGAAGCCTGGCGGTTCAGGCGAAGAAGCCAAAAAGAAACGAAGATGTTGCCGGGCCGCCAGCTAAGCGGCACGTTATCGCAGAAGAAGTGGAGGAAGAAGACAGAGACCGTATCCCAGGACCCGTTTGCAAGGTATAAGGGGCTACTTTTGGTTTACTCTTGGGGCGGTAGCTCCATGCTGGTTTCCTGGGGCTACCTACTTGACTACAGCTCTGCTAATTTCACAGTAGCTTGTGTGTGACCAGAGATCTTCCTTAGCAGTTCTACCTACTGGACTAGGCATAGTGTTTACATCTATTCCTTGTGCACGTGGGCGCCCTCCTGGAGGCGACGAACTCGCTGGGAAGTGACTATAGGGAGTACTCAACTCCAGAGAGAAATTAAGAATTCATAGAAGTTGATGGTTTTTATTCGAAACAAGGTGAAAACAGGTTGTTGGAGTTAAGTTCTTAAACTAGACAGATTACTGTGTATTCTGTTGAAGGCTGGCCTGTGCTTTATTAGTTTCTGTGTCCCTTGCGCTTATCATAGTACCGATACTTATTGCGAGTAGGAGGTGGTAAGTAAATTACGTTGTGTGGTGGGATGGCAAGCTCTAGGAAAGGACTGAGGTCTAAAGAGTGAAAAATGAATATATTCCGCGCTCTTTTCTCATTTACAAATTAAGAGGAAGATAATACTTGCTTTTTGTGAATAATCTGGACCAATGGATTTCCAGTAAATAGTAGTGCTTTTACTCTTCCTTAAAGAGCTAGAAAGAAATATGATAGTATATATGTAAGCTCAGTCATAGTTTGATACATTCTGTGGAAATGTAGGAGATAACGATCACTTTTACTCTAGGATAATAAGGTAAGGACTAAGCCTTCAAGCTGGATCTCAAAGGACAGGTAGAATTTTGATGCTCAAAAGTGAGAGGGAACAATCCAAGGGAGAGAAAAAAGAATGTGTGAAAAGCATTGAAGTGGGGAAATGCTGAAAATCTAAAAAATAGAGCCAGATTGGATTAGTGTAGTGTTGATTTGGGGCCATGTAAAAATGAAAATGTATTTCAGAATCCAGTGGTAAAGCTGTGTCATTTTGAACTTTGTTTAGAAAACTGTGGAAGTAAGGTTGTGATTAAGCAGTGCTTCAGAAAGATTAAGCTGTTAGCCTGCCATATGTATTGGAGGAGCTCCTGTCTGGGAAGGTTGGCCACTTAGGAAATTAGCAGTTGATGTAAGGCTACAAATAAGAACAGTGTGAATAAAAAAGGATTGAAAATTGTTGCAAAGAGAAGCTGATAGTATTTAGTCTTATGTAGGGGAAAAAGAGCAAATGGAATAGTCAAAAGTTTGGGGGACTAAAGTGATGGTGCCAGCATCAAAAAAAAAAAAAGAAAGAAATAGTAAGGAAATTTGCCAGATTTAAGGTATAAGATAATGTTTAGTATTATAGAGTTGATTTGAGGTGTTTGTCAAATGCTTGGATTATTAGGGCTGGAGAGAGTTTATTACCTTTTTGTAGACTTGACAATTGAAGCTGGGAATGATTATGAAATCTCTGTCGTGGAGAGAACAGAAATTTAAAAAGAGGGCTAAGAAAATGTTTAGGATTGGGAGGAGGAATTGGAGAGATTGAAGATGAAAAACAAAAAGGAAGAAACCAGGGATGGCATTTCTAGGGGGCAGGTGTGGTCAGTGAATGTTGCTGACAGATGGAATTAAAGGGGTCAGGATTGATCCTTAAAAAACAAACAAGATAGGTTCAGTATGAGATTTTTAAATCTTTTAATATTTTCTTTAGGGCAAGTGGACAAATAAGGAACGGATTCTCATCTTTTCTTCCAGAGGAATAAATTTCAGAACAAGACATTTAATGCAAGACTTGAGAATGTTGATGCCTCATTCTAAAGCAGGTACCTTTAATATCATATTTTTAAAATTTTTATTTATAAACTTGCTTGTTTATATATTTAAAATTATGTATTTATTCTTTATTTGTTCAATCTTGTCAGCTAAAGAACTATGATACCTCAGAAGTTTACCTTTCAAGTGCCAGTTTTTCTAGTTAATATTTTGTTGGAAATTCTTTACAGAATTCATTAGATATTTTCTTTACCTTTTAAAACAGATATTCTAATATTATTGAAACTTTTTTCATTTTAATAGACTTTATTGAGGTATAATTTATATACATAAAAGTTTCTGCATTTTAAATGTGTGTACACCATTTTGATCACCACCCAGATGAAGATATTACACATATTGAAACGTTTCTGGAAAGTCCAGGAATGCCTTCATTATAGTGCTCTTCTGAGTTTATGAGATAGGTAGGATGAGATGGTCTGTCCTTCTGAATGATTCCTGACTGCCATGTATTGCTTTCTGAACTTTTTATTAAAAAATTAGTGGATTTGGGATAAGATTTGAAGCACCTTTAAATTGGGCTCAGCCTATTTCTGAATACCAAGCTTCTTATTTTGTTTTGTTTTGTTTTTTAAGCAGTGATTTACCTTTAGGCTAGTGAAGGATGTCCGGTCTTGAGAATGGTGGCAGTGTGCCATTATATAGCTATTGTTGTGCCTGTGTTGGGAAATTCTTTAGGTTTTAATTCTAGGTAATAACTTAGTTCTTTACACCAGTGCCTCTGAAATTGGGGTCTGTTGTAATATTTTCAGATATCTGAAATAAAGAGAAATTTTAATTTGTATGTTTTCTTTTTCTATGATAGTCCAAAACTAATTTTCAAAATCAATGTTCTTTGACAACTATGATTCAAAATTGAAAGATATTTTCATCAATTAAGATTTTAGTTTCTTAAGTGAATGTTTTCTGAAACTGGGCTCCTTCAACATAGTCTTCAGTTTGTGAGAATTTTTCCACTTCTGAAAGGGATTCATACAATACCTAAAAAGTCTTGGACACATGGCTTAACCATAACTTGAGGACTATTTTTTACTTATTTTCTTTACATTTAAAAAGATTCAAGATTTTTGAAGAGGTTGGGTGTTTTCAGGTCTAATCATTTTGAAAATTAATAATGAAATCTTTAAATAAAGAGTATAAAAACCTTAAAACAAATTTCTAGATAGTGTATGTGATTTGATTGAAGTAACTTTGAAATTACCTTTCATTTACTTTTTCTTTGTTCTTTTTATAGATACTAAAATGGATCGCAAAGATAAGTTATTTGTGATTAATGAGGTAATTTTAGAACACTCACTGTCTATATTCACCATTTAGTACTTTAGTGTATATTATTTCCCAATCTTTTCCATGTCTTGCATATTGAAATTTCCTGAGGAGACAAGGATTATATCTCATTTTGTTTTCCATAATGTCTAGTATTATGCTAAATTCGTATTAGGTACTGATAAAAAATAATCAACATAAAATAAAATATAAAGCCTATTAAATACATATGGAAAACCCACATTGTAAAAAGCATTTTTCCAATATTAAAAGTGATGCATGTGGCATTTGCTCTTAAGGTATTACAAACTGGTAATAGGTTATATTTGCAAAGTAATTGAAGATATTAAACTACATTTAAAGCAAATTTTTCAAAATTTAGAATTGTTTTTAAGGTAATCTTTTCACTATTAGGCTTCTTTTATTCATTCATTTAGCATAAATTTTGTTTTGTTTTTTTGGAGACAGGATCTTTCTCTGTCACCCAGGTTATAGTGCTGAGGCATCATCATAGCAACCTCAAACTCCTGGTCTCAAGCGATCCTTCTACCTCAGCCTCCTGAGTAGCTGGGACTACAAGCTCACGCCACCACACCTGGCTAATTTTTCTTTTTTTGTAGAGACAGGGTCTCCATCTTGCTCAGGCTGGTCTCAAACACCTGGCTTCCCAGAGTGCTAAGATTATAGGCCTGACATTTTGCACAAAGTTTTGAACATCTGTTGTAACGTGGCATTAATCTGTGTGCTGTGGAAAGAATGTTTAACGGAACAACAGTCCTGTCATTATGGAGCTTACATCCTAATGAGGAAGACAGGCCTTAAGCAAGATTTATAATTTCAGTGAACGTAGGAGAAATAAAGCAGGGTTTTCAACAACTGAAGCTAGACTAGGTGGGTTTTTTCCAAAGAGATGATATTCAACTTAATATTTGAGCAGAGCCTTAAGAAATAGGTTGAAAGAGTAATCTAGCTAGAGAAAATTGCAAGGCCCAGAAGTGGTGTTTTTTGTGTTTATTCTAAGACTAGTAAAAAACCTAAGATTTTTTTTTTAAAGTTTTTAGATTTAAAGACTTAAATAGTATACAGTGTATGAATACTATGCTAGTTAGGGTTTAAGAATACTAAAGTAATATAAGACTTGACTCATGTTTTTGTATATTCTAATGTGACTTTGTAAACCTTCAAGACATTGAAGGTTAATTCAACTTGAATTAGGTTTTATACTTGTAGTTTTCACCAGTCTGTTAGTGATTTTACAGAACCAAATTATCAGAAATGATAGTATAAGTAAGGAATAAAATCTTAAATTTTGTGATCTTAAAACCAAAAAGCTAAAAAGTTGAAAATTAAAGCAACCATTTTAAAGGATGTTTTTGGTTCTATAAGGACTATATTTTCATAAGATAGGTTATGAAGAATTAACATAAGATTAATTGTGGTATGCCTTATACCTAGGGCTTCTGTTTTCAGTCTTTGTAGTGTGGGCATGGAACTGGGGTCAAAAGAAGAGGTTCTCAGTAATCGGAAATGAGATCAATTACTTCAAAAATGCTAGATCAAAAAGAATAGGTTAGATACTGCCACCAAAGAGGCACACAGAGCATCTAGTTTACCTTGGGTTGAATATCTAAGAGGAACTTTATATGTTTCTTTCAGTGAATAAATAAATTTACCCAGGTTTAGACCATTGTAGCCTATTAATCTGCTTAAATATTTTCAGGTGACTCTAGATATTAATTGCACTTAACTTAGTTCTTATTTATGTTATCTACTTCATTTTCCTATACTTTTCTTCAATTTAGGTCTGTGAAATGAAAAACTGTAATAAATGTATCTATTTTGAAGCTAAGAAAAAACAGGATCTCTATATGTGGTAAGAGAATGTATCAACATTTGGGTTGAGCTCATTTAAGTGGTTTATTCTTTGTACCTCTTAGGTTATCGACTCCTTTGAGTCTTTATGTAAAAGGGCGAACAATGAAACTCATTTGATTTCACAAAACTTGATACCTTTAAAGAAAATTAAACATGAATATTATAAGCATATTATAATATGCTTTTATGGTGAATAGGTGGTAAGCATTTACTGCATTCTAAATTCTAATTAGTTGAAAAAGCTTCTTTCATATTTTAGGCTTTCAAATTCACCTCATGGACCATCTGCTAAATTCCTCGTTCAAAATAGTAAGTTGACTCCATTTTACATTTTTTACTGTGAAAATTAAAAATAATCTTCTGGAATAGTTCAGCCAAAGTTGTAACTTTTTTAAAAATTATTTTTCTAGTTCATACCCTAGCTGAACTAAAGATGACTGGAAACTGTTTGAAAGGTTCTCGGCCTCTTTTGTCTTTTGACCCTGTAAGTTTCTCATATAGTAATGAAATCTAACTCTTACCCAGTATGATTGATTTTTTGGGGGGTTATAGTTATATAATTCAACTTAGCTAATGTTAAAAAACAGTTTTAAACAAGCTACTGTTGTAAATAATACATTCATTTTATTTTTACAGGCTTTTGATGAATTACCACATTATGCTTTATTAAAAGAACTCTTAATTCAGGTAAATATCATTTCTAGAAAGTATTTTTAATCATAAGTGTCTTCCTTTGCACTTGTTGTTATCTAGAACATACATAATATGTCTTGGAATAAAGAACTAATGTATCCTTTTTTTTTTTTTAACTAGATCTTTAGTACACCGCGGTATCATCCCAAAAGCCAACCGTTTGTGGACCATGTGTTTACTTTCACCATTTTGGATAATAGAATATGGTTTCGGAACTTTCAGGTGAACTTAATTTTTAATTATAACTTAAAATAAGGACATACAGGGTTTGTAGACACACAAGATATATATCATTTTTTTTTTTTTTTTTTTTTTTTTTGAGACAGAGTCTCGCTTTGTTGCCCAGTCTGATCGCAAAGATGTGAGTGCCGTGGCGTCAGCCTAGCTCACAGCAACCTCAAACTCCTGGGCTCGAGTGATCCTTCTGCCTCAGCCTCCCGGGTAGCTGGGACTACAGGCATGCGCCACCATGCCCAGCTAATTTTTTATATATATATCAGTTGGCCAATTAATTTCTTTCTATTTATAGTAGAGACGGGGTCTCGCTCTTGCTCAGGCTGGTTTTGAACTCCTGACCTTGAGCACTCCGCCCGCCTCGGCCTCCCAAGAGCTAGGATTACAGGCGTGAGCCACAGCACCCGGCCATCATTTTGTTTTAAATAGCTTCCTTTTTCCCTACAAGACTTGCTGCAAGTAACTGTACTTTCTCATGCCTTAAGTGATCTATACTTCTTTTCATGGCTGTCTGTTGATATGGAGTATGAGTTTCCTAACAAGCCACTATATTTATTTCACTTTATAAAAAAAAAAATTAGCATGAGGTAATTAAGATTTGTGCTAAGTGCTGTAAAGGAAACAGTAAAATACAAGTTTCTCTCCAAAAGGTTAGAATCCACCATGGGGGTTAAGACTTAGAAAAACATACATAGCACCTAAGAAGGTATTCAGTGACAACTATTAGATGAGTCATACAGTGACTCATTCAGGAGAAGAGATAATTCTAGAAACCCTTGGCAGGATAAGTCTGCAGAAAGATGGAGAGATGAAAGAAACAGCAAGAAAAAAATTTTAAACAGCATGTGATGTAAACTGGGCTCTTTTTTATATGTTTTACACTAAATACCTTGCAGTGTGAGTTAAGCACATTTCCTTAACCTGTGAGGGCAGACATACCTGAACTAACAGTTAATATTTGTAGTTCAGAAGTTGCCTCTTAATTCCATAATCAGTAGCTATTGAATAAATTTGACCATATATCCTATTTATATGCATTTTAATCTAACTTGATAGATTCATAAAAACAATTTAGAGGTCGATTTAAGTTTCAAAAGGGTTCCCTCATAGTTTGTTTTCATACAGTTCGTTAATAGTGGTGGCAATTTTAAAAACCACAGTTTTTCAAGAATACATGTACTATGAAAAGGAAGATATAAACTACATTCAAAGTGGTCAATTTTAAAAGAATACACTGAAAAAATATATTTTCCTATGACAATTTCTGTAACTGGTAATAGATTTCTGAAAATATTGATGATTTGGCACTTGCCAAGTTTCACCTCTATCTTGATTTTACTGATTATCAATTCTTTAAACAAATTTGTAAAGAAGTTAAAGCCAGCATACCTTTTAGGAATAGTATTTCCAAACCAAAATGAAAGTTTCTTTTTTATTAAAGATCATAGAAGAAGATGCTGCTCTTGTAGAAATAGGACCTCGTTTTGTATTAAATCTCATAAAGATTTTCCAGGGGAGTTTTGGAGGACCAACTTTATATGAAAATCCTCACTACCAGTCACCAAACATGGTAAGCTGTTTTTGTTATTCAGTGCTCTTCAATGTACCAGGACCCTTTGGCCAAAATAATTCTGTTCAGTATTAATAATTACTTTTTATTACCTGGGAAACTTAATTTGGTCTTTGCTGCATACAGACCTCAAATTTTACTTTTTTTTTTCATGACAATAAAGGGATTTGGGCTCATAAGCGAATGTCTTTGCTTTATACAAAATGTTTGTTTTTATTTCAAAAGCATCCGATCTTTTTTGTTTTTAGCATCGACGTATCATAAGGTCCATGACAGCTGCAAAATACAAAGAGAAACAGCAAGTGAAAGAGGTGCAGAAACTCAGAAAGAAAGAACAAAAGACACTTGTTCCACATGATCCCACTGCAGATGTTTTTGTTATACCAGCTGAGGAAAAACCAATAGAAATACAGTGGGTAAAACCAGAGCCAAAAGTTGATTTGAAAGCAAGAAAGAAAAGGATTTACAAAAGGCAAAGAAAAATGAAACAGAAGATGGGCAGTGGGAAAACAAAATGAATCAATGAATAACTAGTTTTTCAGTTACTTTGTATTTATTTTGTATTCAGTGTGTAAATACTTTTATTATTATCTGGCATTATCTTAATGTGTAATTAGTGTGGCATTCAAAAGAAAGAAAACTTTAAAATCAATGATTATCTTTTTCTAAATAAAATATCACCAGGACTCAATTTCTGATTTTCTTTTCAAAGTTTGTTTCGTATTACTAAAAACTTTTATTATTAAAGATTTGGGCCCGTTCTCTTGGATTAGAATTTTTGGCTTAGCAAAGCTGAAATGCAAACAGATTTACTGGGTCATTATTACTTGTAAAAACAACATTAGGCACTTTGAGAGAGTAGTTTGTGAATGATAAAGGGGGAGACTGGTAGAAAGGAAAGCAGCTTACTGAGCTTTGACTCCCTGAGTCACCAGTTAATGAAGCCATGAAAAACCAACCTCTGATCTTATCTCACCTCAGAAAAGAATACATTAAAATTCTTAGGTTTTGAGAATCAAATGAATTAATGCCTGTGCTGAAAGTATTTTGTAAATTACAAGTTTATTTTAGAAGCAGTATAGATTAAAAATAGTAAAAGGAGGAAAAATAGGACAGTGGTGAAATAATGTCAATCGGCAAAAAAGTTTTTTTGGTTAGGTATTGGTTGTTTCTTTGTAACTAGAATAATGTTTGTTTTCCTGTAGCAGGGTTATCTTTTACTGATTTATAAACTCTTTTATGTGGTAAGATTATTGTATACATCTTTTCTAGTTTGTTTACATTTTAATTTTTTATTTAAGTATTTATATAGGCAGAACTATCTTCATTATGTTTCTTAATTTTTTTGTTAAGAAAGGCCTTCCTGAGTGTTTAATGGGCTGCTTACCTTGTAATAGTCTCAATTAGGATATTTCAAATCTTGAAGTCATCTAGATTATGCAGGCAAGTAATTCAGGTCATAGATTCACTTGAAATTATTGTATGTGGTTAATTAGGGCCAAATTGTTAAATGCAAAAAGCCAAAATGTCTACTACTCAGGCAATTGAATATGACCTTCAATAAAAATAAGACAGCCATATTCAGAATTTATTTTTAAGCACCCACTTATCAGGAGCAAATTAATTATAGGTTCTCAAGATAAACTTGACAGTAAGTTGTGAGTTTGAGTGAAGACATAAATTCAATACTTTTTGATGAGTGTGTTATGAAGTGGTAGAATTTCTAATTGCACAATTTTGAATTAATCCCTTTCACAGTCATTTATGTGGATACTTTGAGAATTCCTCTGGAATGGATTATCTGCAAAGTCCATGTTCATTTAGAAGTCAACTGTTTAATAAAGATATTAGATTGAAATTTAAATCCAGCCTAATTACTTTTAAATTTATATGCAATGTTATTGGCAAAAATACATCTCTGTCTCCTCAGAAGGAAAAAATGAAGTTGTATGGAAAGTCAGATATAGCTGGAGAGAGAAAAAAGTACTTAGTCACTTTTTGTGTCTCCATCCCAATTCTGTTCTCAGGAGGAGAAAGCTTCCATTTTTCCCCAAACTCAAACTTCTCAATCTCGATCCATTACCAATTTACCAACCAACTTGAGGCCATATATAATCTTCCTCTGGAAAAAAGGAAAGACTGAAACTACCAATTTTGAGTAGCAAATTGGTCGGACAGTGGTGTGTGGAGAAACCTGGTGAGGCTTACAATTGGTTTTGATTGTGTTGGGGGCAGTATGTTGGGGAAGAAAAGGACAATCTTCCTCAACTGTTTGGGTAGCCCAACCCCGTACAATAGATGTTAGCAACAGAGCTAACCCTTCTCTCTTTAATCACAAATGGTTGACAAACATAACCCACACCTAACTGATGCATGTAAATGTTCCACATTACAGTGAAGTGTTAGTATATTAGAGCATTTTAATGAGAGGATACTATTTTGGCACCTTATTAAATTGTTTAGAACAGTTGTACAAATCTTCCTTCTTGTAAAACAGCTAGTCAGATCAACCAAAACCTACTGATTAAATACTATCCTGGAACTGCTGGAACTGCTTTCTTAATCAAAATCAATCTTCGAAAAGTAGGATTAGAGACCAGAAAATTAGGGTTCACGAGTGATGGATGGATCAGCACAATTTAATACATATCAGTGGAAAGGCTTATGATTTGTTATCTTAAAATGTTGATGCTTCCCTCTTAAATTGTTTCAACTTAATCTTATTTACTGTCATTCTTCATGCATATTGCTCATGAGCAATATCAGATTTTATTAAGTGGCAGCTGAAGAGAATTGAAAAGAGATCAAAAACTTAAGTGTTCAGTCCACTGAATTCTACCATTTATGTGAGGTTTGAGCCAACCACCTGACTACTTGGAGTCTGATTTGCCTTGGGCTCCACTGAGAAATTGCCATCAGGTATTTTCCAGAATCTTCTCCCATCCGAGCTCCTATCTCCTGCTTAAGCCCTAGGTCAGCTACCCCAGTGGTGGTGCCACTTCATTCTGATCGCCTTGTGTATCCCTCACAATGACACCAACGTGGCCACGCCTCCTGTCAGCCGAGGCCCCGCCTCCCGCGCGGCCTGGCCTCTCACCGCGCCGCGGCCCCGCCTCCCTCCCGCCGCGGCCCCGCCTCCTTCCCGCCGCGGCTCCGCCTCCCTCCCGCCGCGGCCCCGCCTCCCTCCCGCCGCGGCCCCGCCTCCCTCCCGCCGCGGCTCCGCCTCCCTCCCACGCGGCTCTTTCCGGAGCTGAGCCCACCCCCTGGCCCATGCGGAGTCGCGGCCGCCGGCGCCGCCCCCTCCGCGCTCCCGCGTGCCGCAGGCCGCGTCGTCTGCCGCCGTCGCGCGCCTCCTCTGCCGCGCGCCGCTGCCGCCGCCGCCGCCGCGCTCGCTGGCTGGCCAGGTGCGGGCGGCAGGCTCCGGCCGGAGGAGAAGACCGCCGCCGCCGTTTCGGCCCGGGCCCGGGCCCCGGCCCCGCCCCGGGCCCCGAGCCCCTGCCGGGCCGGGAGATGAAGTGTCACTACGAGGCGCTGGGGGTGCGGCGCGACGCCAGCGAGGAGGAGCTGAAGAAGGCCTATCGGAAGCTGGCCCTGAAATGGCACCCGGGTAGGTAACTAGCCCGCAACCGCCGCGGGCCCGCGAAGCCTGGCCCCCCGCGCCCGGTCCCACCCCTCTCCCCGCCGACTCCGGGAAGCCGCCGCGCCGCGACCTCCCGGCCTCGCAACTCCTGCGACCGCGGCCCGGGCGCTGGCCGCCCACCCACGCACCCAGCCACCCCTCAGCGGGCGCAGCCGCCGGCCCAGGGCTTCTCTCAGGCTCGGCAGCCGCTCCCGGCCCGGCCCCCCGGCGAGCCCACCTGCTCCTGCCGCCCTGCCGCAGGCACCGCCGAGGGAGGGGTCGGGCGCGCCGCCCCGTCCTGCCTCAGACATGCCCTTTCCTTGCCGTCCCGTGCTGCTCCGCTTCCCCGGCTTCTCCTCGCCTGCCCTTCACTTCCTCGTGGAATCCCAGCTACTGAAACCTAATGCATGGCTCCTTTTTTACTGAAATTAAGGCAAAGGAACCACTAAAAAGTCTTTTAAATACGAATGCCTGTCCCTCCCCCTCCCCTTAGTAGTTTGGTTAAGCAGACACTGTGCTTACTTCACTTTGGACATGACTCTCCAGATGCAGAGTTTCAGTTATTAATTGTTATCTTTCCTAGTGAAGTTTATGTGTTTACTTAGAATTACTCTTCGGATGTTTTATTTGGTTGTCATCCAGGCCTATTGTGACTTTTATGAAGTAATCAGATCTTCCAGTCTGGGAAACTGAGACAGTAGTTGACTCTGAGCTTTTTGAGATTTATAAGAGGCTTTCACATTAGCATTAATCAGTAAACAAGGTTATAGGTGTCTAATATATGCAAGTCAACACACTGTGCTGGTGTGTAGATTCTAAAATGCTAAGACAGGGACCTCAGAACCTTGTTAGGAAAACATGCCGTATACACACGATAAGTTAAAACACAACTGTGAACAAAATAGCCTAATGTACATAATTGGCAGTTGGATCAATAGAACAACTAATGCACCAGGAATTCAGGGAGAGAGTTATCACTGTGTACTGAGACACGGTGAGGATTTCCCTTCACAGGAGCTCGGACTACATCCTGGAGGAATGCAGTTTAGAAAAATGATCTCTCTCAAGTCAGGGATAGGCCTAAAGAAGAATAATAGATAAAAGAAGAAGAATAATATAAAATAAAACTAAAAGAAAAAGAAAAGTGATCTCAGCAGAATGGGGGGAAGCACGGGGGTGGACAAAAGATGTTCTGGAGTACAGTTTGATTAAAGGCGGTTTTTATTAGACGCCTGAAAAACATGGATTGGGAGAAGAGCCGAAGGAAAGGGTAGGGACCCAAAGTCAGGGAATGGCTATGGCTAGTGGAGCAAGAGAGAGAGGTATGCATCTGTTACTTAAAGTTATGATAATTACCAACACAAGCACGAAAAAATGTGATTATAAATATGTTGAAAGGGCAGAAGTAAATGAGCTAAATGTTCGTTGTAACAGGAAGTTGGAAGATGTAGCCAAAATTAGTAAATCCGAAATAGTGGGAAAATAGCATAGAAGCAAGTTAGGAACTAGGAGGAAGTTAGGAATTCCTTGAATTCTGGAATTTCTGGCTGGGAAAGGGTGAGCCAGATAATTATGCTGTGACCAAAAGCATATGTAATTTTTGAAGAGTAGTCCAAAATCAGATTGTATTTTATTTAATCTTGAATGTTAGGCTAGGGACTATGAAATTTGTTTTGCCAGTAACAGAGAGTTATGACTGGTTTTATTAAGCTTTATTGGGAGGGTACTATGAAGGCAACTGAGGGGTTAAGTGGTGGGGGAGGGGACTCCACAGTGGACAGGCAAGGGCCCAAGCCAGTCTCAGGATCAGTGGGAGGGGAAAGGCCAGAATGGAAGAGATGTTACAAAGGGAAAATTGCCAGATTTGGTTATTAATTAGAAATCAGTGGAAGGAAGAAGTATGCAGATAGTATGTTAATATAATATCAGTTATATGTAACTATATATTGTATAACATATATAACTAGTTATACGTATGTATCAAATATAATATCAGTTAACTACTTTGAAACCAAACCTGTTAGGAACTGAATGTAAATAAAATTCTCTGATTATCATCATAATTTATGGCCTATTAAATATCTTTTGGTTTGAAAATGCCTGTGTACTTAAGGGATCAGTACTCTCCCTGGAAATGCATAATTTTGATATGTTTTGCTGGTTCATAATTTGCTAAGTCTGTCAACAAATGTCTAATTTCATTCTATATACAATTATGTTAGATATTTCAGGGTTTAAACTTTGCCTCAAAGAATAACATTTCCCTCAAATAGAAAGGCTTTCTGTTTTTTATGGTATTAAGAAAAAGGAAAGACCTTTTTTTCTTTACCTTTATTTCTTTTTTCTCTTTAAAATTGTATTTCTCATTGACATGTAATAATTGTACATCTATTTTATTGAGGAACTGAGAATAATTTACAATAGGGTCAGCAGCCCTGTCTAGTGAGGTCACTCCTTGTGAAGGGCAGGCTTTCAAGAGTTCATCCGATAACTATTCTCCAAGCACTTTGCTATGTGAACAAGGCAGGAATGGTCCCTACCCTGATGGCACGTGCAATCTGTTGGGGAGACTTAGGAAGGAAAACAAATGGTTTCAATCCAGCGAAAGAAGGGCTATGTGTGTATGAGGGCAAATACAGGATGCTTATGAGCACATGTACCCAACCTGGACTAGGTTTATTTGTGGGTAGGAGAGATGGAGAGAGCTGTCCCGGAAATGAGTCCCTGAAGAAGTGACATTTAGCTTGAGACCTAAAGCTGGGTTACAGGGAACACAGGTAGAGGGGTGCAGGAGAAGGCAAGGGAAAGAGATGAGCATGACCAGCTCAGCAGGCCAGGTTATGCAGGGTGTGGTAAACCAGATTAGGATCATAACCTGAGGGCACTGGGAAGCCATTGAGGAGTTGGAAGCAGGGAAAATGATAGATCTGTGCTTTCATTTCTCGATGTAGTGGGGAGAATGGATTGGAGAGGTCAGTGCTGAAGGTAGGGAAGCCAGGAGTTCAGGGAATATTGAAATCATCCAGATGCTGGGGATGGAAACTCTGAGCCAGATGCCACAATTTTCAGTGAGTCAGGCGGAGTGGCTGGGAGATGGGTAGACAGTAAGAAGGAAGGGAAGAAGGTCATAGGGTCCATGAGCTGAATCTTGAAGGATTGCTACTTTTTATGTGTGAGTGACCAGATGAGTGCCAGCTCCACCACCAGACCTGTGGTAGGAGGACAGTGGCCAGAGGAACCAAGAGGTCTGTAGAAAAATGTTGTTCTAGGGGAGCCTGGTTTTACTCAAGGCCAGGGTTTAAAAGGCATGGTCCATGAAAATTTCCAGAAGGCACTGTAAGTGGGTTTAGGAGGGAGCAGAAGAGAGTGCTTGAATGTGTCAGGAAAAAAGCACAAAGAATAGTGTAAGAATACCTTTTAAACTGTAATGACAGGATTTGCAATACCCGTGGCTTTAGCAATTGGCAAATTATAAATGCAGACTTTTCTTTTTTTTAATTGTTGCTTTTTGACTTATTATACTCTTGCTTTTAGATCTCATTTCAACCTTATAGTCAACTAGGTCAGGTACATTTAAGTGAAATCAGCCATATGTTATATTGAAAAAATTATTTCAGAAAGCAGCTCTAGTAAGAGCTTAGGACCTTATTTTCAGATGGTACATTAATGGGTTTTATGTGTTTAAAAGCTTTAGCTTTCTCTAAACTTCTTTGGGGGAGGAAAGAAGAAAGTGGGAAGGAGCAGGACCAAGAGGTGTACAGTATTGATTAAAAGGAAAAAAGGCCCTCCCACCAACAGTCACCTTTTTGGTTTTATGTAGGAAGATTCAGTTGCTGACTTTTGCTACTTCTAGGTCGTTTAATTTGGACTGTGCTTTTTTTTTAATCTGACATTTTTGAAACTGAAAGTTTCTCCCATTTTCCTAGGAAGCACAAAAAGAAGTATAGGCTGGTGAGGTTTTTTGATGCTATAGTTGTTTATGAATTCAAGCACTGTTTGAGGTGTACTTGATGAATATTGAGTTGACTTTTGGAAAGCACCAGAATGTCACAGGGTTTTGTCCTTGTCCTTTTCCTCTTGAACATGTTTATTAACGCTTTGTTGAAGACATAGGAATCAGAACTCTTTACAGCTGGACTCTAACCTTGACAGGGGTATTGGAATTGTGTGAAGCTGCATGTGATAGGAAGCTGGCTACAGTGGCTAATCCAAATAGTGCTATTTTTCTCACATAGTAAGAATCCAGAGGTGGCCTGTCCTGGTAGCTCTAGCTGCATAATGAAGCCATCAAAGACCTGCTCCGTCATCCTGGCCATGTGGTTTTCGTCCTTGCATCAGGTAGCAGTTAAGCCTCAAAGACAGCAGTTAATTGTTCTCTCACATAGCAGTACAGATAGGCAGGCATAGAGGTGCAGATAGGCAGGCGAGGCCTAGGATAGCAATTGTTTTCCATGAGGACCAACAGCTCTCAGGTGGGGCCCTTACTCGTTGTCCAAGGTGGCAGGTAGTGCCAGGAAGCAGAATGGAGGAGGAAAGGATAAAGGAGGGACAGAGACTATGTGCTAGCTGCCTTTTAAAGAAGATTATTTACAGCTGCCATAGAATACAGATTTTGTTTTGTGTTGTTTTGTTTTGTAATACGGTCTTACTCTGTCACCCAGGCTGGAATACAGTGGCATGATCATAGCTTGCTGCAGCCTGGAACTCCGGAGCTCAAGTGATCCTCCTGCCTCAGCCTCTTGAGTGGTTGGGACTAGAGGCACATGCCACCATGCCCAGCTAATTTTTTAATTTTTACAATTTTTTGTAGAGATGGATTCTTGCTAAGTTACCCAGGCTGGTTTTGAACTCCAGGACTCAAGAGATCCTCCTACTTCAACTTCCCAGAGTACTGGGATTATAGGCATGAGCCACTGAGCCTGGCCTTTACAGATTTTATTGACCAGAGCTTGGTCATGTGGTTACACATAAAATTCAAGGGAGGCTGAGGAATGGGGACCTTTATTTCAGGTACCAGGTGCCCACCATAAAATCAGAATTCAGTTGTTACTGGAAGAAGAAGAGAGTTGTCTTTGAGGATGAACCAGCAGTCTCTGCCACAATCTTCATAACTGAGAAATGGCTCTACCTGTAAGCATTGTACCTGGCTTTGGACAGGACAGGGCAGATGGGTTAAGGGCACAGCACACTGAGTGTCACCCAAGCCTATCACTTTTCATCAGGAAAACAATGTCTTTCTTGGGAAGCCTCACTTAGATTTTTGTTTACATCTAGTTAGTTAAAACTGGTTACCTCGTAACTCCAAATTCAAGAGTCTGAGGGTGTGAATTTTTAAGAGAGTACAGTTGCCACTGTGAACAAATTATGGTTTTTTTAGGAAGAAAAGGAGAGTGGATATTGGGTAAGCAACTAGTAGTATCTATTATAATGTGATAAGTGCAATGTAAGATAATTGTAATGGTATTATGTGTCCTGTACTACCTAGAACCCAACTGCAAAAGAATCACGAAAAGATGTAATTGCTAGTATTAGTTGGAAATAAACAGAAAGCCTAACCACCATGGCTTAAATAAAGAGTTTATTTTTCTCACCACAAGAAGTCTTGGGAGGTGTGCCAGCTGGTATTATTTCATTGGCTCAGTAATTTTAGTTCTAATGTTACTTTGAATCTCTTGGCTCTTCCTCATGGTCTCAGGATGACTGCTGCAGCTCCAGCCAGCACATCCACATGCAAGACAATAAGAAAGGAAGAAAGAAATACATCAATACACTCTGTTTCATCTCATTGGTCAGAGCTGTTTCACATGACCATTCCTGGCAGCAAGGGAGGCTGCATAAGCAACTATCTTTGGATATCCAGCCTCCATATTAGACACTACAACAGAAAAGGAGGAGGGGGTATTGGATGATCTAACCTAGAGTATCTGCCACAGCATGGATTAAGTCGTATATTTGAGTTTTTAAAAGTATTATAGAGTTAATAATTGGCTTGCCAGTAATGAATACAAAAAATACTTTAAACTTTGTCAACTATTCAGTATAACTTAATATGCTGCTCTTAAGAGCTAATGTAATTAGAGTGATTAAATATGTGAAGAAAAGAAAGTAATGAATGGTTCTTTGATTTTTGGTGCCTTTGATGGTATTAGAACAGGAGTAGAAGATTATAGTGTGCCATAAGAAGTGGGAGTATTCAGTGCAGAGAAGTGGTAGACTAGAGGATGACCCATTGGCTATCTTCATATGAGCTGTACTGTGGAAGGGGAATTAGACTTACATTGCATTATTTCTCATATACAACTAGGCTACACAGGGATGAAGATTTTTTTCTCTTATTATAAGTATTCTTTCAATTCCAGGAGATGATGATTCTAAAATAGATCTAAAAGTTCTTGTGTTAAAGCATCTTAGCAAAAATAAGCAGTGGCAAATTTCTGCACTTGTGAAGTATTGTTAGTGTTAGTTGTTGAGCAGAAGGCCACCTGAAGACTTGGGATCAGCATGATGGCATCTGAGAAGAGGCAGCAGGAAGCCCTTGGGAGCCACGTTCTAAGGCTGCAAAGCTATTTGTAGGGAATACATTTCTGTCATCATATTTTCCTCTAACCTCTTAGAGGCAGGTATAGAGCTGTTGCTTAAAGAATTTTGTTGTGCTTCATAGTAGATTTAAAAGATTTTACTTTTTGAATGTATTAATTATTGCTATGTAACAAATTACCAAAACCTCAGGGCTGAAAACAACAAAAACAGCAAACCTGTATTAATTATGTAGACTGCTACAGTTTCTAAGGATCAGACTCTGGGAATGGCTTGGCTCGGTGGTTTTGGCTCAGTTTCTCATGAGGTTGTATCTCATAGTCTGGGAGAACCTGCTTTCCAGCTCACTCACAGTGTTGTTGGCAGGCGTCAGTTCCCTGCTGGCTGTGGGCCAGGGCTTCCATTCTTTATTACCGTGAGTTTCTCCACAGGCTGCCTGAATTCTTCATGCTGTGGCAGCTGGCTACTCCCAGAGTGACAGGAGAGAGAGGAAAAGCCCAAGATGGAAACTGCAGTCTTACATAATCTCATCTCAGGAGTGACGTATCATTATTTCTGCCATGTGCTGTTGGTCATGCAGGCTAACCGTGCTGACCTGGGGAACTACACAAGGGTGTGAATGACTGGAGGCAGGGTACTGTCTTGGAAGCTGGCTACTGTCTTGAAGCAAAGATGCTTTCTGAATGGCTAAGGAAGCACAACTAAGAAAAGAATAATTAGTATCTATTTTTTAAACTTTATGAGATTTATTTCAATATATATTGATAAGAAAGAAAAATAAAGACAATGTGAGCACTAAATGTAATCTAGCATTATATAAGTCTTTCTATAATTGATTTTATTTATTTTGCTTCTTCTAAAAGAATTGTACACTACTCAGGGTTTTCTCTTGTGGATATGCAGATTGAATGTTCAGTGTAATGCCAAGGCTTAGAGAAAAGCCTAACATTTTTACTCAAGTAGATATGTATAATAGATCCTGATTTTTGGCTATCATACAGGGTCTCTTTGGCTTTTCCCTAGTTGTTTTTCTTTGTTTTGTATACTTCTTGTCTTTTTATGGCATTGTGATAGAAGAAGTCTCATTTAGATTTGTCTTTTACATTTTTGATGACTAAATGTCTGTCTTTTTTAACAGATAAAAATCTGGATAATGCCGCAGAAGCAGCTGAACAATTTAAATTAATCCAAGCAGCCTATGATGTGTTGAGTGACCCTCAGGAAAGAGCATGGTAAGCATCAACTGTTCTTCCCATCCTCGTTTATGTTATTGGGAGGAATTGTCAATATAGGGTTTTTTAAAAAAAATATGTTAAATGATTTTTGGTATGTTCTGAAGCATTTGTTACCTACTCCTGTAAAATACAATGTCAGAAGGGGTCAGAAGGAACCTTAGAGATGATTACTCCAACTCTAATTTCATAGATGATGAACAAAGTTTGGTGATACTACTATAGTTTTAATTTTGATACTTTAAGTAACTTTTCATTAAATGAAGACCCTTTGATTTGTGACAAATTTACCGATATCAGTTAGGAAGGATGTTGACTTGTCCTTAAAGACACATATAGTGTTTTGTTTTTTTTTTGTTTTGTTTTTTTTTTGAGACAGAGTCTCGCTTTGTTGCCTAGGCTAGAGTGAGTGCCATGGCGTCAGCCTAGCTCACAGCAACCTCAATCTCCTGGCTCAAGCAATCCTTCTGCCTCAGCCTCCCAAGTAGCTGGGACTACAGGCATGCGCCACCATGCCCGGCTAATTTTTTATATATATATATTAGTTGGCCAATTAATTTCTATTTATAGTAGAGACGGGGTCTCGCTCTTGCTCAGGCTGGTTTCGAACTCCTGACTTCCAGCAATCTGCCCGCCTCGGCCTCCCAGAGAGCTAGGATTACAGGCGTGAGCCACCACGCCCGGCCACATATAGTGTTTTAATATAAGAATTGTAATATTTCCACATAACTACTTTATATGAAGAAATTGAGTTAAGCTTCTACATCTGTGACAGATGCTTTTACTATTGATGCTCTGATCATTTAATTTAATGTCCAAACAAAAATGTTTATATTTGAAGTTCTGAGTTTTCAGCTACTCAATTAACTTTTTGCTACAAAGGAATGGGTTTTTAAGCTCTGACATAACTCTGCAAGATCCTGCAGTTATGAAGAGCTACCGTGCAAGTCGTCTGTGTGTTAAATGATGTACAGTACAGGTGGCTGTTGAGAGAAAGGCCATAAAAAACTTTTAAGAAAATTGTCTTTTATAAGAAAATCAGAGAGAGGATCCTGAACTTTTTCGTACCTGAGGAATCTGAAGGTCTGGTCTTAGAATTGCTTTTTCCTTCCTCTCAGAACTTCTTTCCTGACCTTCTTTTGTCTGGCCTCTCTCTGTATCTTAGGTTGTCCTCTCATCCCAAGGATTCCCATGTCTTTTATTTAAAGCTCCTGCCTAGTAACTCTCTTGTTACCCAGAAGCAGTGTCATGTAGTGCGAGGAGCCTGGTCTTTGCAGTGCAGGACACCTGCTGTTGAATTCTAGCCTTGCTGCTTATTGGCTTTATAGGCAATAAGTTATTTAATATTACTGAGCTTCAGTTTCTTGTGATACCAAACAGGGATAATAACTACTTTTACAGAGTTATTATGAGTAGTAATTGTGTGTGAAGCTCCTATATTAAGTTTATATAATCATAGGATGAGTCTTATTCTAGTGCATGTTGGTAAACACCCAGATCACAAATGTATAATTATTCTGTAGACCAAATTATGTCCAGTACTGTCCTTTTCAGTAATGTTTCTTTCCTGTGGAAATGCAAATTCCTTTTTGGGAGAATCATTTTTAAATTCCCCTCGTCACATGGGCTAGTATTGTATAATGTATTAGAAGTTGTGGGCATAGTTTTAATCAGTTCTGTGAAAGATTATGAATACTTTTCATGTTGATATTTTCTTAAAATTTTTTGGTCATGGCTTGGATGCATTGAAATGTACAACAATATTTTGGCAGTTTTGGAGTAATGAGTCCTTTTGGATTCTTATTCAGCCTTCACTGATGATGCTAAATTATTATTTTTTGTTTTAGGTATGATAATCATAGAGAGGCTTTACTTAAAGGTGGGCTTGATGGAGAGTATCAAGATGACAGCTTAGATTTGCTTCGCTATTTCACTGTTACTTGTTATTCTGGTTATGGAGATGATGAAAAGGTAAGGTAAATGAACTCACTTTTAATTTCTTACCAAGCATTAAGTGAGACTCAAATCCAAAGAAAATTCTTAAGATTATTCTATAGTAGAAAGTAAGATTATAGTAGAAATTAAGATTATTCTATAGTAGAAAGTAAAGTGGTGTTCATTTCTGAAAACTGGAAATACATTGCTTTCATATTTAAACTGTCAATGTATGAAAACCTCCAGTTGAAACCTAAGTGGATTTGCAGTGACAGAGCTTGGTCCTATGATTCTTCAACATTAAAGTTTTTCATTTTACATTTTTAAATCTTATTCTGTGATTAGGTAACAAAGGTATTAACAATCTGTGCTTTTGTTACTGTGTTTTAGGGATTTTATACAGTATATCGTAATGTTTTTGAAATGATTGCAAAGGAAGAACTAGAATCTGTGTTAGAGGAGAATGCTGAGGATTTCCCAACTTTTGGAGACTCCCAGAGTGACTATGATACGGTAAAAGAAAAATGCATTGCATTTTATTATATAATTAGCATTTATCACTGTGCCTTTTCCCCATTTCCTTATCTTAAAAAGATTGGTTCTAGTTTTTGGTCCTGTCCCATGACCTCTCTTCTCTCTCTCTACCTTCCTGAAGGAGCATTCAGCTCTCATATAGCCTCGCCTCTTTACTTTTCCCTATTTATTGATCATCCCATTCAGTGGTCAGGCTGTTTTTCTTTCCTCATTAAATCCATTTTTGTGGGCCGAGAGTAATTGAGGCAGGCCCACGAGGAGATTAGCTACTTCTCCCCACAGAGCCAAGTCTCTAAGATAGGGGTCGCCACAGAGGATAAGGAAATTGATAGGCAACAGAGAGAAATAAAAGAATACACAGAGACTAAGGTATAGTTTATAGTTTTATATATGTAAAAAGATCAGATATAACACAGTGGGAAGTTCCTAGGGGACTGGTGGATCTCCATAACCACTAGCAATATGGTTAGATTCATACAGGTTTTTATAATCACAGACATCAATTACCAGTTGTCAGGGTAGCATATTTGCATATCAGGGAATGCAGTTGCTAGGGGATACAAGTAGTGGGTTAGAGTCAAAAGCCCTCTCAAGGGGCTTCTAATCTATCTAGGTGAACAAACAGGTACAAAGTCTTTTAGGGGCTGCCTTCTGAAGAGGTAGTTGTCAGTTAACAAAGGTATAACAAAAGAGGTATAGTGACTATATATTTCTTTGATTAGTTATGGTGGACTTAAAAGTAGACAGACAGGAGAGAGCAGGAAGTCCATCTCTAATAAAACAGGTTGTTTATAACCACTGGGGTGCTTCTCTGGGCAAAGTGCACTCATTGTCTCTGGCTCGCATCCCGTGGGCCATATTTGGCTTGTCTTGTCTTTCAAGACACAGGGAAGCTCACAGATTCTGAGATACCGGGAAGCCTTCCTGGTAAACATCCCTACCGGAGATTTGAGAGCTCTCCCATGATAGCAGCCTCTAATAAGTGAACCATTGAGTCCACACATTTCTTCAGGGCCAAACCCTGCAAACTCCTGTTTCTGTCTTTAATATAGTAATATTGTGTTATACAATAAAATAATGATCTTATGAGGCACATCTCATTAATTCCTCAATCATATTTTCCCAACACATTTTGAAGAGTGGTTTATTCTGGAAAGCTTGAAAAGTGCTATCTTCTCCACTGAATAATATATATATAAAAAGACAGATGATGTTTTGTATCACAAATATTTGCTGCCTTTCTAGAAAAAGTTAAAAAGCTCACAATTTTACCTATTTTCTTTGTCACTAGGTAGTCCATCCTTTCTACGCCTATTGGCAGAGTTTCTGCACTCAAAAGAATTTTGCTTGGAAGGAAGAATATGATACACGACAAGCTTCAAACCGCTGGGAAAAACGAGCCATGGAAAAAGAAAACAAAAAGATTCGGGACAAAGCAAGGAAAGAGAAGAATGAGCTTGTCCGGCAGCTGGTAGCTTTCATTCGTAAAAGAGATAAGAGAGTGCAGGCACATCGGAAACTTGTGGAAGAACAGAATGCAGAGAAGGCGAGGAAAGCCGAAGAGATGAGACGGCAACAGAAGCTAAAGCAGGCAAAGTACGTGACACAGGGCTGGTCCTTTTTGCAGTGTAGGGGTCAAAGGAAGCATAGGTGGATCCTGACATGGCATTTTCATGTTGGCTTCAGTCATCATCCTGGCTTCATCTTTTTTTTTTCTTTTTCTTTTTAAAATCTTGACATTGGATAGTATTTTTTAATCTACTGTGTGGAAGTTTTTATTTTGAATTGGATGTTTTCCTTTAGAGGGCTTTATACTTGAGATTCTTTAGACTTTTATAAAGTCTAATAATTTTAATTAATATCTAATGTTAGTTGAATTTTCACTCTTTGCAAAGCCTTGTCTCTAAGTGCTTTCCTCACAGCAGTTTTGTGAAGTAACTTCTGTTTTTACCCTCCATGCTCTTTTGAGGAAATGAGGCAGACAGGTCTAAGATCACAGAGCTAGTAAATGACAGAGTCGGGAATCGGACCCATGAAGCCTGACTCCAGAGTCCCTGCTTTAACCACTAGGCAATACTGCCTCTGTCAGTATACTCTGAGATATTCAGTTCATTTCCTTCCCTTTGTTGAGAGTTACCGAAATAGCATTGAATCCAGAGCATTATAGTATTCTTTTAAAAATTATTCACATAAAAATTCTACCCATCCTGTTCCTTGTCTTTTGAAAATTACCACTTCACTAGACACTATGACTTAAAATCACCTGAGGACCTTTAATAAGTTGCTAAGAGTTACATATTTCAAAACCCATTATCTAGTAAAGCAATTAAAGTCATCCACATAACACATCATAACAGGTTTAAGTAACTTTGCCTAGTTTTAACTAAGCACAGGTTTTAAGTTTGTACGCATTGACAGCTTGGGAGGAAGAAGGTCTGTAGAGGGATGGATTTTAAGCCTAAGTGGAAACCATGCAGAGACAAGTATGTCAGCGTGAGACTGTGCTGTGTGTGTAGACTGGCGGAGCAGTACAGAGAACAGAGTTGGATGACCGTGGCCGATTTGGAGAAGGAGCTCCGGGAGATGGAGGCGCGGTATGAAAAGGAGTTTGGAGATGGATCAGATGAAAATGAAGTGGAGGAACATGAACTCAAGGATGGACAGGATGGTAACTTTCTCCATACATTAAGAAATTTTAGAAAATAAATGTATGTAGGAGTGTGCACTCAGATGCCAGCTGGTGCCAGTAAAGGGGCCCAGGTGTAAGACAACAGGGAATGGGAAAGCAGCTGAAAATAAGAACACCTGAGTTCTAATCAGTTGTTGCCAGGATCATGCCAGTGTCTTTATTTTTATTTTCTTTTTTTTTTTAAATGAAGCTGGACATCTGGATTTTTATGTGGCATATCTCAATTTTTAAATGTGGCAAATAATTAAAATGAAAAACAATGTTGTATGGGCCAAACAAAGGTAATCTGTTGAACTAGTCTAATTCAGGTAATTTGATTAAGAAACTCTTTTCTGACATTCTGAAACGATCTGTACTTGTGGCTGTATAAATAGTAACTATTTCTATAAACTGCTGATACTGTGCAAGAGTCTGTATATAAATTTTCCTCTCACTTTATAGAGGGTTTCCTCTTGTGTGCAGAAATGTTTTTTTCCCTCTACTTCTATCGTTAGAGCACAGGTTTATGACTACCTTAAAAGGTGAGGATTAGGCATTTTTGAGAATATTAGCTGTATACTTGATTCCCCACCTCCATCTCTAGCTCTTCCATGAGGAATAAAATCGAATTATCTAAACATAGATAAAGTAAATCCCAATTTTACCTTATCTACAAATGTGGTTTTTTAGACTAGTAGCCCATATGGTAAAATAGAAAGTTTTTATTTATTCCAAATGACTAGGAAGTGAAATGTTTTATTAATAAATCAGAAGTAGTACATGTAAAAGTGCTTTGAAAATTATAAAGCAGTCTATAAATATGAGGTGACCTAATCTACACAGTTTTATTACATCTAGGATCTCCCTGGATCCTCACACAGCTCCCCTTACATGTAGGTTTTGCTCATGGAATTATCTCCATTTTACTGATGAGGAAACTGGGACTCCAAAAAGCAGTGGATGTGCCTAAGAACATGTGACCATTTCTAGATAGAGATTTTTTACTTCAAATCCAGTGTTATTAACTATTTGATTAATTAAAGTTTATTTTGTGTATATGATATATTGAAAGTATACACATACTATAATTGGAAAATAACACCATGTACTAAACGTTAGATAGGATATATTTTGGTCACTTATGATTTCAGTAAGATTACTTGCAGAATGATATTAACATCACTTGTGATACAGAACCAAAATGTAGAATATAGAAGAGATACCTTGGATCTTTATTATTCCTATAATAAATCCTAAATCAATTTACTTGTTTATTTCTTTTAAAAAATGAGATTGTGCAAGGAATTTCAAGTTTGTAAAGATAATGTTAAATTTTACATGTACTATGCTATTTTATGGCCTGTTTTATGGTGGTGGAATATTGTAAAGTAAGTTTAAGCATTTAAGAATAGATCACAGTTGTAAATGTGTTGGATCAAATCTTGCTCAAGAGATAAACTACAAAAAAAACAAAAACAAAACTTTATTGAAAAAACTGATTCATCTTAGAACTATTAAAGTGGTATTTACTTTTTTAAACTTAGCTTACACCCAAAACTTTAAGAAATTTTTAAATCTTCTTCTAAGTAGATTTATGAAAAGAACTTGAAAGGTGAAGTGATTTATTTGGAAGCCTTTCCTTATAATGCAGTGCTGCTTTTAACTCAAATTGTGATAGCATTATTTGGTTTTTTGGACAGAAATTCAAAAATTTAGTTTCTAATCTGTGTCCAGCTTTAGATCCTTGCTAAAGAGACGCAATTTAATAACATATTTTAGATTTGCATTCTAACCAAACAGGATTCTTACCATCGGCTTCCCTCTTACAGGGAAAGAGAGTGATGAGGCCGAGGATGCTGAGCTTTATGACAACCTGTACTGCCCGGCGTGTGACAAATCTTTTAAGACAGAAAAGGCGTAAGTTTAATATCTTTGAACTTACCTTTTCCTTGGCCGTGAAGTGTAACACTTTGAAAGTCTTGAAAAGAATATGCAGGTAGCAGATGACCACCAGCCACTACATGTCATCTTCAGGGGTTTCTGGCCAGAATGGGAGGAAGAGGTATTTGTACCAGCAGTTAAGGCTTTTGTACCGATTCTCATCCATCCCAATGTTCCTATGTAATAGCTGCCTTATAAACACACTGTCTCCAGAAAGAAATGTTCCTTGTTTTGGCAAAGAAGACACAGTTCGAGGAGGCTAGACCACAGCTAATCATTTCCCTCCATTGCTAGTGTCAGATTCACTTTGAACCTTTGCTGTCCCATGTAGGCAGTTGCTGCCAACCCAGGAACTTTAACTTGTCCTGCCTAGTGTATGTTTGCTGAAGTGGAAGCTCTTTATCTTAGGGGAACAGTCACACAGAAAGAAGTATTAAAAAGGATACCATTATAAAGGAAGGGAAAAAAAAACATGGGAGAAAATGAGAGTAGAATCAGCAAAACAGTGTGTGCAGTTAGGAAGAAAGGATACCAAATTGAGAACAGGATGTGGGAGACATAAATAGTATTACCGAATAACTCCAAGGGAGAGACAGTCGAGGGTAAGAGAAGTGTATAGACAGGCAGGAAAGTTAGAAATAAGAAAACAAAAAGCAACAATGAAAGAGAATAATTTTCATATTCAATGAAAAATGAATGATTTTTAAAAATTATTTTTTAATTTGGAAATAATGTCACACAAAGTCACAAGAGTGGAATATAGCATACTTTAGCAAACTGTTGCTAATATTTTGCCTTATTTGCATATGCTCTCTGTGTGTGCGCGTGCACACACGCATAGACACGGTGTTTTTCCTGAATAATTTGAAGGCAAGTTTAAGAATAAGGATATTCTTTTACATAACCAAAGTATAGCTGTCACCTTTAGGAAATTATAACATTGATACGGTACTTTTATCTAGTTTACTGCTCATATTTCAATTTTGTCAATTGATCCTTCATTAATAATCCCATATAGCACTTTCCCCACTTCAATATGGAATCCAGACTAGGATCATATTACATTTATTTGTCTATTTAGTCTCATTTAATCTGGAACATTTCCCTTGTCTTAATTATATATGCCATTGACATTTTATAAGTATACTAGTACTTTAAAATATTTTTTTCTTAGAATACTTCTCATTTTGAGTTTATATCCTTCCTCATGATTAGATTAAAGTTGCGCATGCCCAAGAGGGATACTGCGCAAGTATGCTGTGTTGCTCTCAGGGGCTCACAGTTGGAGGCATGTAAAGTCCTTCTGCCTCTCATTGGTGATGGTAATTTTGCTCATCCAATCGGTGACGTTCAGTTTTTCTACTGTAGAGTTAGTATTTTTTTCCTTTGCAACAAATTTTCCTTTGCATCATGCTTCATCTGTGGGGAGATACTTTGAAACTATTCAGGTATCTTCTGATAAAAATTTCCCTCCTAGCTATAGCATCCATTGATGGTTTTAGCTTGTACTGGTCTGTACTGTGACGGTTGCAGGATGATGCTCTCCCAGTGCTCCTTCCACATTTATCAGTCAGCCCTTGGCTGTCTGCTGAAGCAGGAGCCCTCCCTATTACACATTTATTTATCTTTCTATTATCAGTATGAATTTTTTCCAATGTTTATAATTCGTTACTGCCCTTTTCACACTCACATTTTTCCAGATTTGATTTGGAAGAGTTCCCTTAAGTAGCTTCTTTGTCCACTTGACATGTCCCTGTCATTTTTTTGAGCTTATACTCTTTTACACAGATGTTCTAGTTTCTCCAGGGGAGCTTGATAGAAAGGAGAATTTTAGTGTGAAAGAAAAGTAGCAGCCAAAACTAGAATACGACACATCCGAACAGATGCAACACAGTGAATAGTAACACAAGTTTCCTACTTCCTAGTTGATCTAACTCTGGTAGCTTATGTTGTCAGCTCTATTTTGTGAAATGTTATTTAGTTGCCCATAGATACACAGAAATAGACATTGCCTATAGAGTTTTGGACAGAGAGGTAGAGATGTGTCTGAACTTATATTTAGGGTGATGGGAGAAGGGAGTCCTCTCCTGAGAAGGTGAAAAACGCAAAAGGAGGTAAAGTGCTTTTGTACTTCCAGCCCTCACATCACCATTTCTCTAGTCCAGGGAGTCTTCCTTTTTTTTTTTTTTTATTTTATTTCGGCATATTATGGGGGTACAGATTTTAAGGTTTCAATAAATGCCCTTCCCCCCACAAGTCTGAGTCTCCAGCATGACCATCCCCCAGATGGTGCACATCTCACTCGTTATGTATGTATATACCCGCCCCCCTCCCCCTCTCCCCAATACCCTATTACTGTAGTACCTATGTGTCCACTTAGGTGCTACTCAGTTTATACCAGTTTGCTGGAGAATATATCTGGTGCTTGTTTTTCCATTCTTGGGATACTTCACGTAGCCTCGTGGGGAGTCTTCCTTTTAAAGTTGGAATGTGTGTCTTGTGATTTCCCAGTGGTCCCTCAAAATCTGTAGCATGGCCTGGGACATAGAAGCACTTAGCAAGTGCTTAGTTATTGAAAGGAAACAGTGGAGAAGGCTTTCATTTTAAGAATTGAAAAATCAAAATAATAAATGGAGAATTTGGCCAAAAATAAAAAAAGGAAGAAAATGTATATTAGATAAAAGGACAGAGAAAGCAGGGAATTGCATGTGAACTTCTGGTGCCTGAAGAATCTTCACAGCATTCTGTTTCTCTGTATAAAATGACTAACATTTTGCTTAATTAATGGAAAAAAAGTAAATTTCAACTTGGTCGCAATCATCCAGCAACGTATCTGGGCACATTTGAAAATTGTAGTGCAGCTACTAACATCACATTGTTCCTTCAGCATGAAGAATCACGAGAAGTCAAAGAAGCATCGGGAAATGGTTGCCTTATTAAAACAACAGTTGGAAGAGGAGGAAGAAAATTTTTCGGGACCTCAATTTGATGAAAATCCATTGAATGATGATTCTGAGGAAGAAATGGAAGATGCACCAAAACAAAAGTACTTCTTTAAATGTCACTAGATATGCTTATCACATTTAGAGATTACATTTAAATGCTGTTTTATCCTAAGGAAGTTATTCTGTTATGTTGATATTTTCTGCATCTCTTCTAGTTAATGGAATGTTATAGTGGCAAAGAGGCTAAATACATGATGTCAAATACAATTTTTATGGAATATGTTATGACTATATTAAAAGCAGTTTTTTACCTAGGCAATTGATATGCTAATTACTATCCATTGAACCACAACTACTGTTCTACTGTTATTAATATTCTCTTAAGTGACAATGTGAATATTTTATTTTCCTTTTAATGCTTTATGATATTAAATATTTTACTACTTTTTGTATCACTAATATTTTTTTCTTTTCACTTATGTAAATCTTCAAAGTCAAGTATTTGACATTTTGATTTATATTTGCTTTTAGGCTTTCTAAAAAACAGAAAAAAAAGAAACAGAAGCCAGCACAGGTATGTTGAAAAGGTTTTATTACCATTAAATACTAACTGTAAAGTTGCAGTACTTTTTTTTATTCAGTATAGTCTGTATTAAGAAGAGGGACTTTCACTCCATAATTTTATGTTGATTGTAAGATTAAAAGGAATTGAAAATATTTTCCTTTTGTAGTGCTTTCCTCTCCTTATGCATACATAAATAACCAACTTAATTACTATTGTCAAGATGTTTAGGAATTTTGCATGTAGAATTCCCTTGATATGAATTAGCTGAGTGACCATATTAAAATCTGAGTATATCTCATGACAGGGCTTTTAAAAAAGTCAAGACAGCAATTAAAGTTTGGAAATAGGAAAATCTAGGGGTTGGTCATTGTATATATGTTTATTCTGTCAACAAGATAAATGAAGTATTACAAAAGGAACATTTAGTTAGAAACTTATAATGGTTGTGATTCTTGAAAAAATAGTTCTTATTCAGAAGTTTAGCTTAAATATTTCACAGCTGGAGTCCAGATTCAATCTCTATCTTAAGGATTATTTTTAAATAAAATGGCATTATGTTATTACACCTGTGTAATAATCTGTGGATGTCTCAGAACCTATAGAAAAGTTTTGAGTTTGTCCATTTTACTAAGGCTATGTGGTGGTTCTAAAGAGAGTAGAATTGATTTGTGCCATTTTCTTATAATCTAGTTACTAACTTATATTAAGTATTAAATGTTTTTAAGGCAACTTAGGTAACACAATGATTTTTTATAAAACTCTAGATTTGGCTTATTTATCCAAATGGTTATAATATAGTTGATAATTTTTATCAGTTTCCTGTTCTAAAAAGGATACATGAGCTAAAATTGTAATTTGTAACTTTCTGCTTTAATTATAAAACCACATAGCAAGTTGTATGTTCTTTTTGTACACTGACTCTTACTGTCATCCATCCAAACACCTTATAATCATTAGTGTAGAACACTTTCTCTTTTCCTTTGTGTTTGTCAGTAATACTAGAATAAGGACTAAATAAAATGGAGAGGGATTTATACTTAACCCATGTCCGTCTTACCTTTGTTCATGGAGAATAGGTTCTATTGACTGCAACATAAACACATGTATTAATATTTTCTTACTGGCAAAAATGTTTCAAATGACCACCCATTTTTTCCTCTCCAAAGCTATCTGCCTTTATGATACCTCTTGTTTATGCTTTCTGATTGTATCAGGTAGGTCTAGTTTATATAGCACTTTTCTAAATATCTTCTGAGCTCTTTTTGAAGGGAAAGGAAATGTGGAGATATGTACTGTTAGGTGAAAGAGCAGGAGGCAGCAAATACTGAGTATCTTGAAACTCAGATGGGGAAAGTTTTTTGTATAGTCAAAAGAAAAAATTGCGTAAGCCAACAAGGATAGTAAAATAAAACTCCCCCTAAATTAATACTGAATGTAAACATAACAAGTGACCCTGGCTGACAGAAAAGAAGAATTAATTCAAGTAACTTTTGAACAGAGAACTCTGACTGAATACTTTCCATGCATATAGTCGAAAGATAAAATTAACTGCAAAAGCATTAAATCTTGAACTTAGTAGGTTTTTGGTAGTATTGTTGTGGTGTTGATGAAACTATTTTGTGCATATTGTAGAATAGAGGAGATGAATAAATATATTAATGTTGAGAACCACATTCTCTTTGTAGGAAAAGGGAAATATATATTGAGAGAAAGGGAGGAACAACGCTGTGTTAGATTGGAATTGAAGATGTTCGTATGACCTTGTGATTTAAAGAATAAGTGTGTTAACACTGTGTGTGGTGAGGACCTAAGAGTAGGACACCCGTTAGCAGTGAGCTCACCTAGTGCACACATCTTAGTTTCTAAGTTCCCTTTCCCATGAAAAGGAAGCAGACATGCTGCTTGGAAAAATGGCTGATTTCAGGGCAGAGACTGGGAAGGTAGAAGGTGAGCCCAGAATATCCCTCCTATGCTGAAAACTAAGGAAGTGCTCCAAAACTGATGGGGGTATGTCAGAAGAACTCAGGACCCGGTTTACAGGGCCTGCCAATTTGGGAAAATTAGAGTCATCAAAAGGAATATGGTGATAGATTTCCATACATTGAATTTGTTTAAAAATTCATATGTATCTATACTGAATTTAAAAAAAGAGTTGGAGAAAGGCGATGAGAAAAGTTTATTATTACAGAAGAATATGAGTTAGTACAAATGCAGATGGACCAAGTAATAGAGGTAGAAAATCACTATTCTGTAGCCACCAATATTAATAAATGGTTTAAGCAAGAATCATCAATAGATGCCAGATTCATCAGGTAAATGGTTATTGGCCACAGGATATTCACAGTCTCAAAGTCACACCCTGCAGATTACTTAGTCATTAAAAAGGGGGAAAGGTACAATAGAAAACTCTGCCAATACCACCCTAACCAAATAATCAAACATTCTATCACTGAAAAATGAGGCAAACTGACATTTTGCCTCCCAGCATTATCTTATAATATTATTGCTAGAAATGTTTATCCTGAATCTAATCATTTGGAAGCAATCAGACAGAGCCAAATTATGGGACATTCTATAAAATAACCATTAAGTTGTCATGAAAGAAAAAACAAGTGGGACAGTTCTAGAATAAAGGCAATTTAAGAGCTATGACAACTAAACACAAAATATGATCCTCAATTATATCCTTGTCGGGGATTACAGAAAAAGGACTAATTGGTATTAATAAATTTGAATGAGGATTGTGTAAAAGATAACAGTGTTAAATTCTTAGTATAGTGAGTATTGTGTATCTATCAGAGAATATTTTTGTTTTTAAATGTACATGACAAGACTCGTAGCTGCCTGTAGCTTACTTCCAGATAGTTCAGGGGGGAAAAATTTGTGTTGAAAAAGAGAAGGGGGGAGGGGGAATTTGTGTTGAAAAAGAGAAGGGGGTTATAGAGAGAGAAAGAGCACACATATGGCAAAATGTCACACAAAATCATATAATTGAACTTAGTAAAAATGTATTTGCTGGGCATCTTTCTTGTATTTATTTATTTATTTTTATTTTTGAGACAGTCTTGCTCTGTTGCCTGGGCTACAGTGTTGTGGCATCAGCCTAGCTCATAGCAACCTCAAACTCCTGGGCTCAAGCGATCTTTCTGCCTCAGCCTCCGAGTAGCTGAGACTACAGGCATGCACCACCATGCCCAGCTAATTTTTTGTATATAGATTTTTAGTTGTCCGGCTAATTTCTTTCTATTTTTTACTAAAAATAGAAATGGGTTAAAATAAAGATGGGTTCTTGCTCTTGCTCAGGCTGAACTTGAATGATCCTCTCACCTTGGCCTCCCAGAGTGTTAGGATTACCATCTTTCTTTCTTAATGCCTGTTTGTTGTTGTTCTTTTTCTTGACTGTAGAAGTAATAGTTGCTCATTGCTGATCATATGGATAATAAAAGTATAAAATCATCTTTAATTCTACCTATAGAGGATACTTAATACTGAATTAAATTATGATTTGACTATATAATTTTCTGTCTTCTATATTTGCTAATTATCTTGGGTTTTTTTTTTACATAATTGACTTATATATTTGGAAACATGATTTTTAAGCACTTCAAAAATTTTCCATCATATATTCAACCATTCACTTATTGTACATTTGGATTGTTTCTCATTTTTCTCTAATATCTCTGATGAGCATCCATGTTCTAAATTTACCTGCTTCTCCCTTATTTTCCCTAACAATATACTACTCCTGGAGTGTGCAGGGCATTATCATTGTTTATTAACTATCTGGCAGCATAACATGTCAGTATTATTATGACACTTATTTATAATGGCATCTATGTTTTATTCCCTAGAATTATGATGACAATTTCAATGAAAATCGAACTGGAGAAGGAGTAAAGATTGATTCAAAAGATACTAACTTAAATCAAGACAATGCCAAAGAATTGGAAAATAGTCCCCAAGAAAATGTTAATGTCACTGAGACCATTGAACCACGTGATGATCCAAAATGTGAAGCTAAAACGTAAGTCAGAGTTGCATATTTTATAATTACTGAATGTTAATAGTAAGGATAGCTTTTCACATATCAAATAAAATCTCCTTTTCCATGATTGACTAAGTAAGATAGATCTGTCTGTATTTCTATACAGACATACCCACAAGCATATGTATTTAGATATAGCTTGTTGGAAAGAGAACCTTAAAAGAATGTGCCCACAGACATTTCAGCAACATAGCCAAAATCAGAAAGAAGTTACTTTGATCCCATTTTTGTTCCCTTGTCCTGCTGTGGTTCTTATTTTGTCTTGGATCAGTAATTCTCAACACTCTCATGAGAACAAGGTCCTGCTGAGCCTCTTTTTCAGCCCCACTCCCTAGAGCATCACTAACTACATCTCCATGCTCAGAACAGGCAGCCTGTATTGGGCACCACTGTTGTCAGAGCACACGTGTGCAGCTTGGGGCCTTCCTGCTCATAGGAGCCCTGGACTTCTGGGCTGCACAAGGCCATGGTGGTGGGGCTAGGGGAAGGTCTCACTTGAGAGAGAGACAGTCCTTGTCCTCTCTTCCCCTGACTTTCTTGTCCACATCCTCCTCTGTTCTTCTAGAATAGAAAATCATTTCTTGTTCCTTGAGGAAAGATCTGAACAGTAAGTAGCCTCAGGTTCCTGTCATTATAGGACCATGAAAAAGACTGAAAGTGATTGAGTAAAGTGGAGCATGAGTTGAAAATGTTTAGCACTGGAGCAACAGTGATAGGCTGGTGGAGTATACTTAGTGGTTTAAGGAATTTGGGTAGTATGAAGGAGGGAAACAGAACCAGGCTGAGGCCGACAGTAGGGCTCTGGCTATTAAAAAGGATGACAAAGAACTACACAAACCAGTAATGTCAAAGGTTTGAAGAACTTTGATGAGTAGAAGCCTGATAGGGGAAATTCACGTTTATTTCACTCTGATGTTTGTTCCCATTTTGCAAATGGGGAAACTGAATCTCAGTTTAAGTGACTTATTCAAGGACAAAAGCTGGTAAGTAGAAAAGCTGACATTTAATTCCTATCTACCTGACCCCTTCAAGGCAACCAGGTCATCTAGCTCCATGGGGCCTAAGTGTTCTGTAAGGGTGCCTTGTGCTGCTTGGCAGGCCAAGAGGTGGGGTTTTGGGCCCTTGAACCCTTCCTTCAGCTAGAGCTAAAGTTTTTTCATTTGCTTTCCATGTTACTTCTATATGAGAATTCATTTTGGAAGGAAAAAGGGTTCTCAGACTTAGACAACCACTGATATAGTTCAATTTTCTCATTTTACCTATGTGAGAAAAGTATTCAGAGAATTCAAGTGACTTTTTCACTGCTGAGGAATAGTAGGGGTGAGATGAATACATTACACGCTCACCCCCAGCCTTACCCTACTCCTGCTGTCCTGACATCCAGTGCCTCTCTGCTGGGGCCCTCTGTTGCTTCTCTTTAGTGGTACAGACACTGGTGAGAATTGCTTTATTAAAAAATGAGTGTGTATACTATTTTTCAAAAAAATAAATGTCATAGATATTATCTTCATAGAGTGGCTGTCTTTCATACTGTGATAAACTATTTGCCAAGAATATTATCCTCAATTTTCTTAGACATATTTGTGGCGTATCTGTGATGATATTTTGTAAGTTAGTATGTAACTTGTTGCCTTTTATGCCATTGTGTCCTTTTCTTGATGGTTTCATAGCTGGCCTAATACTGCATAATGTTGAGTTATATTCGTAATCTGCATCTTTTAAATGTGTAGGCTGCATAACTCAATACAGACCCTTGGGTTTTGCTTGAAGGATAGTATACCCATGAAGTGCTTGGAAGCATTATCATAACTTATTCATTATAACCCAGCCTATCTGCTCCATAAATATTGTTGCAGGATTTTTACCCTATGAATTTGGTTAGCACAAATGATGGAAAGTATAAAAGGAAAATTAAAATTCATGTAAGAGATTGAGTAGAGAACGTTGAAGAGTTCAAGCAGAATAGGAGGAACCTAACTACACTGACTGACAGTTTCTGATTTAAAGGGTACATTGAAGGGAAACCCCACCAGATCAGAAGAAAGGACATAATTTTTTAATAAAAGTAAATTCCTTACATTGAGCAAATTCAATTTTATGAAAAAATGCATTACGAAGTCTTTTTTTTTTTTTTTTTTTTTTCATTTCTCCCTGGGATTATTGAAATGTTTATCACACTGGAACCACATTTAATGCCATAGATGATGTATGGCTATTACTGGTTGGTTATGAAGATAGTTTTGCTTCAATAAATGGAGTATTAAGTGCTTTGCTTTTTATAAAAACACTGTATAAATGTTTAGAGATATTTTAGGGGTCTTGTTTTAGCTTTTTCAATTATTTTAAGAAAATTCTTTAATTTCTGTGCCAAATTTGATTTAATTTTCATGCTACATTTAGTTTGATTCCTAAAGTTGTTCTCTTCATTTGAGATACAAAAATTAGTTAAATTAGCCATTAAATCAATGAATTAGCCTTTAAAGTGCATTTCACTATTTCAAATGTTCTTGGGAGCAAGATTACTATTAAAAGGGGTACATTATTTTTGGATGATGCTGAATTCTTTATTTTGCAGTGTTCCTAAACCCAAAGGAAAGAAAACCAAAGATATGAAAAAATCTGTCAAAGTACCTGCTGAACCACAGATAGTGGTAGGTCAAAATCATTTTTACATCTCTTTAGTGGACATTCTTTAAGCAATATAATGTTCTAACAGTGTAAATGTGTATTCAGTGAGCTCTTCCCTGTAGAACCTGCTATGGTGTGGATACATCAACAGTTCTGCTTGATGGATGTTGAATTTATTTGTACACTACTATCAGTTTTTCTTTAAGTAAAAAGAAGCACATGGGAAATGTTAGACTGTACTAGAAGAACAGTTACTATTCTGTTCTCCATTACTTTGCAGTCTGAAGCCTTGGTGATACGAATTACATGTGTTAAATTCTGAAAATTAATTGTGAACCACAAACTCTTCCTCTATTCTAGTCCATGGGATCCATGCTATCAAAAGTCTCAGGACCCTTAAAGCTAATGGTGTTGGCTAATGCTACCTTTGTTGAGCCTGTTTTGGTAGCTGTCCATTTTGTTAAAACATCTTTATTTTGCAGTTGTTTGATGCTTAATCTTGATGTTAAAACATAAAACACTACTTCTAGATGATAATGCTTGCTTTTATTTATAATTTTTTCCCCCTTAGAATGATGTTCTTATCAGCTGTACAACCTGCCATAGTGAATTTCCATCTCGGAATAAACTTTTTGACCATCTAAAGGCCACAGGTCATGCAAGAGCACCTTCATCATCATCATCTGTAAACAGTATTACAAGTAGTCGAAGCAAGAAGGAAAAACGTAAAAACAGATAGAAATTCTACCTACGTTTTTTTTGTTTTAAACTGTCTCTGGATTTTGAAACCAAAAAAACTGAACTGAAATCATCTAAAACGTTAAAATTTCAGTGATCTGCAATTTATTGCATTGTGGAAGATTATTTTTTATCTTGTAAAAGCATTTTTTTTGTTTAATATATATTTTTTAAACATTTCACTAGTGATTGAATTCTACTTTTGCCATCTGAATTGTCTTGAATGTCTCAAAGCAGGTAAATATTGTAAAGTGTGTATTGATTTCTATTGGCTTATATGGACAGAAATTTACAGGGAGAATTAAATTATTTTAACACATAAAATGCCCCTTTGCTTTATTTTGTGAATTGCTTATTAACTATTTTTATTATTTAATGCTTTTATATTTTGTTATTCTTCATAATCTGTCAAAAACTCAGATCTTTTAAAAATATCAGAGTTTTTTCCACCTGACACCATGACTCCAGTTCTGATTTTAAAATTATTTCTAAATAACCAATTGTTGATTACTGTATTTTTTTTTTTGCCCTTAAGAATAGTGATAGGTAGAAAGTAATTGAACATATATGATGTGTTTCAAGAATAATCTCTTCAAGGTTTAACTGTGTTGTTTTAATTTGATATTTTACTGGTTTACATCTTGATGATATCTTGATGATAACTTTGGTTTTTTGCTCTGATTTGAATTGTGGAGGTGGAAGCAAATTGATTTACTTGCCACTTCCTCCTAGGCACAATGATAGCTGTAAAGTAAGATGGAACAAGGTAGCAGATGGTACAGAATTTTTACTGACTTTAACAAGGGAGGTGTTCTTCATTGGGTTTTTTTTTCACTATTTTCAAAAGGTTTTGTTCTGTTTTTTTCATCATTCAATGGAGAAAACTTTATTAATGAAAGATTTTGGGATAGGGCATTAGCCAACTTTTGCCATCTATTCTGTAGCAGTGATGAATATTAAATCAAAAGAAATACGGAGCATCTTTATAACTGAGTTATAACCAAGTACATTGATCATGATGAATCAATTTTTAGAATGGATTAAAATAGGCAGTTCTTTTAATTGACCTTAAAAGTTACTTTAACACATTGACTGCCACACTAGGGGAAAAAAATGTTTTTTCCTTGAGGCCATGGTGTTTTATTACAAAAATAGAATAAAAACTTCAAAAACAAAACAATCATTTCTAATTTAATGAAAAATTTGTTAGTTTTTATTGTGTTCTGTGTGTGAGTTATATGTAACTTGAAAAATAGTTCAAGTGGCTTCCAGGGTAAAGAGACATGTGAGTTACTATGCTTTACAAGGCCTTGGGCTCAAAACTAGCATGAGTTAAATACAACTCACATGGCAAGTAATGTGTTAAACTCACTAGCTTGAAATGTATACTTTCAGTTCAGTGAAGTTACTGCTTATCTCCTAGAATCGTCAAATGAGTGAATCTTTGGTTATGTATAAGCTCTTTGTAGAGTCCCTAATGGCAGGGTCTTTCCGATAGCCTTATAGATAGTATTGATAATCTAGTTCATTCTGTGGTGTTGACTTAAAAAATAGGCATTTGAATCTTAATATTTTTCTTTTCTATTTAAAGATACGTATACTTTCTTTACCTTCATACCTTTTTATTTCTTGCTAACTTCTATCACTAATTCCTTATAATTCCAATAAACACTTCTTGCTCTCTTCCAGGGGAATACTAGCCAGTTTTGTACCTTCTGGTTTCTTCCTCTCAGGCTTCATCTGAACACTCTACCTTCCTCTAATCTGTATTAGATGAGTTGGCTATAATTAAGAATGGAAATATTAATGAACAGAAGGACATATTAGTCACATGTTATAATATAGTAAAAAATGCGAAGTTGTCTGAAGGGCGGAGAATGTCCTACAAATGTCCTTCAGGCCTTCTTTGCTTTCCCTTCTACTGACCATACAGATATTTCATTTGTTTTGCCTCTTATAAGCATTGCTTGGAGTTACTTGTCACTTTTTTTCAGATTGACAAAAATCAACCATAATTTTCAAGAGATCTTTATCAGTTGTGATTGGAAGTCAGGTCTCATGTCTAATCGTGTGTGATATTGAGAAATGATCTTCCCAGAATTCCATTTTCCTTATTTCTTAACATAGTTCTTAGCATAATTTTGTGTCCATTTATCATACAATATCATTATGAAAGTCAAAATAGTATACATGAAGGCACTCTTTGGACACAAGGCTTTATACAAAATATTGTTGAATTTAAATGAGTGAACTCTTTTCAGTTAAAATATGGGCAGACAGAAGTATACCTATATAATTAAATGTGCATTAAGTTTTATAGGAATTTGCTTCCTAAATCTGCTTCTGAGGAGGAAAATAGGAACATACATTATGCCAAGGGTAAAATCATTTTTGGGGAATTACAGATGTTTAATTTCAATTATCTGAGGCAAAACAATATTCTAAAATATATATCGTTAAAAGTTAGTGGTACTACCTGTCTTGATTGAAATTAACTCAGATTTGGAGATACATAGAATGAGGGCTCCGGGAGGAGAGGGTTGGGGAAATTCTTTTATTTTTCTTCACTGTAATTACTCAATGGTGCCAAAGCTAGGGGTCCCCTGTAAAGCCCCTTTGGATTCCCTGTTTCAAAATAGGAGCAGTATCCTTAGTCTCAGCCCAGCATTTTGCTGATTCCTGGCTTTGGTCACAAAGAAGAAGAAACAGAACTGTAAATGAATTAGTGGAAGATCATTCACATTAGAGTTGATGTCCTATTGATTGCTGGTGAGGCAATAATTGGTATTTTGCTATCATGAGAAGACTTATAGAAGATTTCATCAGAATTTTTATTTTCTCTAAATCCTTCCCTGCAGAATTTACAGATTGGAAATTACTATTTTTAGAAGATCATCCCTGAAGTTGTTTAACTCACACAGGAAATAAAATTCTTGTAATAAGCTATAGTTTCATTTTAGAGCACCCCAAAACTCTGCAAATGTTCTGGGTTGTGCTGATTTCTAGCCTAACCTTCAACATCAAATAATATTTAATACATAGAACCTTTTAACCCTTATATTTCTATTTGATGCAAGTTCAGTTTCGTGTAATCTGCAATGCTGTAGTATCTCAACTCAATATGATTAGCCCATTACTTGTTAAGTTTATATAGTGTCTTTATAGTAAAATTATAGGCTCTTTTGGTTGGTGAGGGAGAACAGAGATGATTGTCAGATTTCTTGTTTCTTGGAAAGAGGAAGCTGAGCTCAGGGAGATACGAGCTCCACAGCCACAGGTGGCTAAGGGCTGCTTCCGTAAGAACATGGCAGGTTCTTGGACTCCCAGCTCAATAGTCCTTTCTGTTATACCCCAAAATGTGTTACATGGGGGACAAAAGATTACTTTTAAGAAGAAGCAAGATAATTTTGAGAAAGAGCAAGAGGGAGATGCATGGACTTATTAATATCAAAGAATATAGTAAAGCTGTAAAAATGTGATTGGTGCCAGTATAGCTTGGTCAGTAGATCCCTGATGAGAATAAAGAGTCCAGAAACAGGCCCAAATTTTATATGGGAACTTGATTTTCGACAGATTTTAAGAAGCTATCTTTATGATGAAAACATATGTAGTACTTTACACTCTTCCCCCAAAATAAACCAGATGGATTGAAGACCTAAATATGAAAAGCAAAACTTTTAAATGAGAATCTTTAAGATTATCTATGAGATCAGCCTGAGCAAGAGCAAGACCTCATCTCTAATAGAAATAGAAAAATTAGCCAGGTGTCCTGCTGCATGTGTATAGTCCTAGCTACTCAGGAAGTGGAGTCAGGAGGATCACTTGAGCTCAGGAGTTTGAAGTTTCAGTGAGCTATGATGATGCCACTGGACTCTACCCAGGGTGACAGAACAAGACTCTGTCTCAAAAAAAAAACAACAAAAAAAATTATGACGATGATTTTGCAAAAGGGAAAGATTTCTTTAAAATAAGACACATAAGCACATGCTTATAGGGAAATAGGACTGCATTAAAATTAAGACTTCATAAAACAATAGGCACCGTAAGTGAAAGGACAGACTACAGACAGGGAAAAAATGTTTGCAGTACATGTAACTGTCTAAGGTGTAGTATCCAGAATACGTTAAAAAGCAAAATAACCTTGTACAGAATCAATGAGAAAATGATAGCTGTGCATTAGCACAGCAGTTCTGAAACCTTTTAGTGTCAAGACCCCTTTACCCTCTTAAAAATTGAGAACCTTAAGTAGTTTTGGTGTATATGGGTTTTGTCCATTGATACTTATTGTATTAGAATTAAAATTGAGAAAATTAAAAAGTTTAAAAATAATACATGAAAATGATTATAGAAAATAGTTTTCAAAAGTTTAATGAGAAGCATGGCATTGTTTTACATTTTTATAAATCTCTTTAACATTTAGCTTAATGAAAGACAGCTGGACTCTCATACCTGCTTCTGCAGTCAGTGTGTTGCTGTACGTTTTGGTTAAGTATATGAAGAAGAAAATCCAGCCTCACATGGATAGGTAATTGGGAAAAGAGGGACCTTGCAGGCCCCTGAATGGATATCAGGGGACCTCCAGGGTCCTTGGACCACATGTAGAACTGCATTAGAAAAATGGGTACACTATATGAAAAGGCTTTATTAGTCAAAAAATGTGAAAAAAATAGATGATTATTGTCCTGATAATCAGGGATATGTGACTTTGTTTCATGCTTTCAGATTGGCAAAAGGTAAAGAGTCACAAGATCAAGTGTTAGTGAGGATGGAGAAATGGGAACACATTCACTTCTTTGGAGTGAAAATTGGTTCAGTTTGATGAAGTCTAAGAAAGTGGAAGATACACATACCCCATGACCCAACAATTCTGGGTATATACCTAGAGTCTTACTTCTCAAAGTGTGGTCCACAGAGAAGCAGCATGGGCTTCACCTGGGAACTTTGCAGCTCTCAGGTCCTGCCGTGGACCTGCCGAATCGGAATCAGTGGTTAACATGATTTCTTAGGTGACTCACATGCTCATTAAAGCTTGAAAATGCTCTAGAGAAACCCACACAGGTATGTAAGGAGATGAACAAAGAATGCTCACAGCTGAATTGTTTGTATCTAGGAAAAGTTGGAAATAACCTAAATGCTCATGAGCAAGAAAATGGGTAAATTGTGTCCTGTTTATAAGATGGCAAACAATTGAACAGTTCCAATGAATGAAATTGATCAGTAATACCAATGTGGATGGCCCTTGAAAAAATTTCTGATGGAAATAATCTGTCACAGAAGATGAAATGTATGCCACTTACACAGTTTTTAAAAATACTGTCTTGATA